AATGGAATAGGTTTTAAGGCTCTATCTCTCATAGTTTCCGAGATAATCGCGAAAAACGAAAATGCCAAAAAAAATTAATTTAATTCATCTTGTATAGGGTGTAGGAAGTGGAAAAACGCAATTCTGAGCCGTCCATCTGCCTATACGGAACCCAAATTTCCTCAGGAATCGAATGGAATAGGTTTTAAGGCTCTATCTCTCATAGTTTCCGAGATAATCGCGAAAAACGAAAATGCCAAAAAAAATTAATTTAATTCATCTTGTATAGGGTGTAGGAAGTGGAAAAACGCAATTCTGAGCCGTCCATCTGCCTATACGGAACCCAAATTTCCTCAGGAATCGAATGGAATAGGTTTTAAGGCTCTATCTCTCATAGTTTCCGAGATAATCGCGAAAAACGAAAATGCCAAAAAAAATTAATTTAATTCATCTTGTATAGGGTGTAGGAAGTGGAAAAACGCAATTCTGAGCCGTCCATCTGCCTATACGGAACCCAAATTTCCTCAGGAATCGAATGGAATAGGTTTTAAGGCTCTATCTCTCATAGTTTCCGAGATAATCGCGAAAAACGAAAATGCCAAAAAAAATTAATTTAATTCATCTTGTATAGGGTGTAGGAAGTGGAAAAACGCAATTCTGAGCCGTCCATCTGCCTATACGGAACCCAAATTTCCTCAGGAATCGAATGGAATAGGTTTTAAGGCTCTATCTCTCATAGTTTCCGAGATAATCGCGAAAAACGAAAATGCCAAAAAAAATTAATTTAATTCATCTTGTATAGGGTGTAGGAAGTGGAAAAACGCAATTCTGAGCCGTCCATCTGCCTATACGGAACCCAAATTTCCTCAGGAATCGAATGGAATAGGTTTTAAGGCTCTATCTCTCATAGTTTCCGAGATAATCGCGAAAAACGAAAATGCCAAAAAAAATTAATTTAATTCATCTTGTATAGGGTGTAGGAAGTGGAAAAACGCAATTCTGAGCCGTCCATCTGCCTATACGGAACCCAAATTTCCTCAGGAATCGAATGGAATAGGTTTTAAGGCTCTATCTCTCATAGTTTCCGAGATAATCGCGAAAAACGAAAATGCCAAAAAAAATTAATTTAATTCATCTTGTATAGGGTGTAGGAAGTGGAAAAACGCAATTCTGAGCCGTCCATCTGCCTATACGGAACCCAAATTTCCTCAGGAATCGAATGGAATAGGTTTTAAGGCTCTATCTCTCATAGTTTCCGAGATAATCGCGAAAAACGAAAATGCCAAAAAAAATTAATTTAATTCATCTTGTATAGGGTGTAGGAAGTGGAAAAACGCAATTCTGAGCCGTCCATCTGCCTATACGGAACCCAAATTTCCTCAGGAATCGAATGGAATAGGTTTTAAGGCTCTATCTCTCATAGTTTCCGAGATAATCGCGAAAAACGAAAATGCCAAAAAAAATTAATTTAATTCATCTTGTATAGGGTGTAGGAAGTGGAAAAACGCAATTCTGAGCCGTCCATCTGCCTATACGGAACCCAAATTTCCTCAGGAATCGAATGGAATAGGTTTTAAGGCTCTATCTCTCATAGTTTCCGAGATAATCGCGAAAAACGAAAATGCCAAAAAAAATTAATTTAATTCATCTTGTATAGGGTGTAGGAAGTGGAAAAACGCAATTCTGAGCCGTCCATCTGCCTATAGGGAACCCAAATTTCCTCAGGAATCGAATGGAATAGGTTTTAAGGCTCTATCTCTCATAGTTTCCGAGACAATCGCGAAAAACGAAATCGCCAAAAAAAATTAATTTAGTTTATCTGGTATAGGGTGTAGGACGAATATTCATTTAGTCATATTCAACTCTACCATTCGTTAATAGTTAACGAATCTCGTTTGGAATAAATGAATGATTCTATCAGTGCGGTGAGCGAATTGTGAGTTCCGTAATTTGTGCTGAACATTTCTCTCCGTGTATTTAAACATCTTCATACTAAAAACTTCGCAATGTATATGAACAAAACTTCTATAAAAAGTCATATGTATTCATATGTCTACGTTTGTAGCTGTACAAGCTCTTAGGGTTTGGTAATCTTAAATTTAAAAAACACAAGGCTTCCATTCGGAAGCAAAAAACCGTAAGATATTTTTTGCAACTATCGTCCAATTCTTCGACCCTAACGATAGAAAATCATCAATAAAGCATGAAGAATAAAAAATAAAGGACGAAACAAAAAATATATATATCAGAGATGAATGAACACTCTTCGCCAATTAAAAATGCCCTCGGGCATGAACATATCTGTCATGTCACAATTTAATAATAACCCACGCAGAAATTATCGGAAGGCATTGCGTGCAGAGTATCATCTCTTTAGCTGAAATCCAGCATTAAATGCAAAGAGCCCCCTCACGCGGTACGTTTCAAACTCGTACAAGACTTATATATTCCAAGTGGACACACGAAGAAAGTAAAACGCGTGCGTGCTCGTGTAATTAGTGGACTTTTTGCCGGTTCATTAGTTCTTGGAGTTAGAAGATAGTGTATATACTCCTCGGCTACCCTTGGCAATGTTAATGGTCTTCGCGATATGAAGATCCCCTTCTCTTTCATTTTTTCCTCGCCATCCCCGTTTTTTCCCCTTATTTTTTGCTTATATCTTCTCTCCTGTTGTGTCGTTTGTCTGTCCTCAAATGTGAAACGAGAGATTTACTCTCTCTTCCTCTGTGTTGGTAATTCGAGAAACAACCAATTAAGATTCTCAGAAAGGTATAAGCTTCTTGTGGAGGAGGAGATGAAGGGCTTCTTCCTATGTGCGGTCTTCTTCTCGTGATTTTAGGGGTAAAGAAGCGGGGAGTTGTCTCACGGAAATTTTATTATAATAATAGTCTTTGTTCCACAATTTCCATTTCTGAAATTTTCATATTTACATTGCAATTTTAGTGTTGAGCTAGGGACTGAAAAATAATCTCAGCTTACGGAGAGAATATAAAATTAAACCTTCAACAATAAATCGTGAAATTCTGTAACTCCTCAGTCTTCGTATCATCGCTTCATACTGTACCATCTCGCCATGCACTCAATCTTGTAAAAATTATCTTTAATTTCTCGATCCTCACCCACCAAAATGAACACACAAACAGACTTTTTCTTTTTTGTTAGTACCAACTATTAGGTTCATAAAATGTAAATACTTGGCTGAAGGCCCCCGGGCGATAGTTGCAAGTTCCTTGAAATTTGCAACAAATTTTGTTCATAATAAATAAAATAATATAAAATTCAAAATTAACGAACTATTTTCTGTATCTTCAACTATTCTCTGTATCTTCATCCATTCACTCGAACCACACGGAGAGAAATGTTCAGTAAACATTACGGAACTCACAATTCGCTCACCAATTACGGAATCGACTCAGAAAATTTAAGTGACCGTATCGTAATTTTTCACAGGAGATTCAGATAAAAATTATGGAACGCTCTGGAAAAATTCCGTGATAGTTCCGTAAAATTTCCTACAACCACATTTCGCTCTTGCAATTAATGTATCATCTTCACCTCCTTGGACTCCAACTACACCATCAAAAACAGAACGAAAAATTTATGTCCATATGTAAATACTTGGCTGAAGGCCCTCGGGCGATGGCGTATTGTAAAAAAATTATTTTCGTTGTATATTTTTCTTACAATAAATTTCGTTAAAAATTGAAAAAAAAATTAAAAATTACAGTATAAACATAGAAATCGAGGACCACCTCGAAACAACTTAAAAATTTGATTTATCCTAATCAGAGAAGAATTTTTACTCATGTCAAATTAACCCCTCACGGACGGGGCCCTTTTATTTCCAGGCGTGGGGTACGCTCGATACAACTAGAATTTGATGAGTTATAATCAATGGAAAATTATACAACTCATATTCAATTGAAGCTACAGTATTCTTTTGTAATGTCATTTGTCTAGTTGAGTTCCGCTCTATAATTTTGGAAATAATCCTATGACGTCACAAAGATATGGAATGCTATATAAATTCCCTCCTTCAATGTAAAAAATGTTAAATTTTATTTTTATTCTATTACTTTCCACTATACCGACTCGCAATTTTTACCATATTCAACACTTGGTTAATTACGAGACAAAATTAATCACCTTTTCCATAATGCAATTCTAGACTTTTTATTTCTTCAATTTGGTCATTACTCCCACTGATCTTATACTCATTACTGATCTTATAAAATTTGTTTCTCCGCTCTCGACCTCAATTATCAACCGAAATATTCGTCTTTAAATGACAAAAATCCTCTTTAACTTTTTTCCCCTTGATTACAGTAATTTTTTTCGCTAATTGCACGTCACGACAACCCCAAATACAAAAAACCCCATTTAAACTGCAATTATTCACCCGTCCACTTTCAAAATATTCGAAAATCCTTAAATATATGTGTGCACGTCTCAATTATTTACCATGACATTACCAATTTCATTGAAATGTAAAGTCGTTGGAAAAAATGAATGAGTGCAAAACCAAACCTGGCTCTAAAAAAATGATATCAACATGAACATCTTCACCATTAAATAAATTGTGACTTAATGGAGCCAAAAAAATGAACAAAATCAAGATTAAAATCCCTAATTACTGAACCTGACCTCCACCAATAAAATCCTCATCCCCCCACCTCCTCCTCCTCCCTCTGTACTTGTCAACGATATGATAATTACGATAACTCGAATCACGCTAATCTTAACGCACGAGAGCGGCGTCATCTTACTCCAGACCAAATAAAAACCCTTTAAAAAAACTACAAATTCCGGTTATTCCGCCAAAGGTAGCCGCCACCTCCTTCCACCCCACCATCTTGTAGTTTGATATTGCGCAGCGTCATGGGCTGCTAAAACTCGCAACAATGTCACTGAATGACTCTCATTACAATCGAATAGGAGCCCAACTGATTTAAAACGATGAAACATCACCAAATGGTTTTTTAAAAAAATACCTAAAGGAGCATGAAAAAATGATGCCTTACCTGCCTTTGTCCAACTTTCACCGGTGTCCTGGACTCGTCCAGCCTCTGAGTAATCTGGAAATGATCGAAGTAATCCAATGAAAATGCACTGAACTCACTGAACACGAGAATATCACTTAAACTTCACTTTTAGCTGAACTTAGGAATCACAAATGGAATCACTGGGGTATTTCACTTTGAATTTGAAGCGATTGTTGTTGAAATATTTTGTTGGAATCACTTTGGAGAAAAATAGAGGAGATTCTTGGGACCGCAAAAACTGAAATGAAAAAAATATGGATTGTTAATGAACTTCAGGGTTTTTATTCAAATTCTTATGAAGAATGGGTAGAAAGTGTGAAAAATCTATCTTCTTCTGCTGATGAATCTTGCTCATACTTTGATATTATTAAGGGGAATAATGCATTTGATGGGTGATTTTCATTATTCAAAATTCGGCAGTAATGTGTACACGTATTCAATAGAAATTCAATTCAAAATTCAATAGAAAGCCTACGATATTCGCTATAAAATTCTGAAGATTTTCTTCGCAGTTGTATTCACAATCTGTTAAAACTCCATTAATTTTCTATTGGAACTCGGTTGAAATTCTATTGGAATTCCATAAGAAACCCTTTTTGTTTCTTTAAGCCGTTTACGGATTTCCAAAAAATATGTAATAGAAAAAAGCTAATAGATTTCTTTTTTTTTTCATATACCCTTTTGGGTTTTTGCGAGTCTCTTCCCTTGTCTCTGTAGTATTTCTTGGGCATGAATTCGTTGAGTGCTTTTCTTAAATTCTGCCATAAAAAGCAAAGTTTACTATTAAAACATACACTATTGAAAATTCATGTATCGCTTTCCTGTTATTATTCTCATCTTATGTATTCTTTTTACAATGCACATGTACAGTTATCATGAACATTCTGCTGAGGAAAGACGAATAGGAAAATTATTCAGAAACGTAAAGCTCTCGTTTGCTTAGCTTTCTTGTTGTCTTCGTGTATTTTTGGAATGCAAGTATTGCGAACTAACAGGCAGTCGATATTTCCTCATTGAATTTTGTTTGCGTACTTCTTTAGAATTTTTGCTAAACTTCAATCTCGTTCCTAGCTTCAAATCTCGGAAATAGGTCAATTGCTATTTTGCGTTTTGGTATTACTAATTATGCAAAACTGTCATTTGAATATAAATCGCACGAGAGTGTTCCTATTAACACGAAAATTGCTTCAATTCTTGAAACAGATTTGTGACTTTAGTACCTTAATTTCAAAATGGCTCTTTATCTTGTTACGCTGTTAAAGTAAATGCTTGCGAAATAGTTTCAATACTTTGATATCATTAAAGGAAAATTTCAGTCTCCATTTGCTGCCTTACAATGGTTTTTGCATCGCGAGTTCTTGAGATGATTAAGAAAAACGTTTTCCATTGAAACGTTTTTCTCTCGTATCTTGGAAACTATCAGAGTGAAATGAGCTTCTCTGTAGTATTTTAAATCGGGAATTTTCTCCGCTATGCAGTGAGCCTATTCTGACATGGAGATTTGTAAATTGAAATGTTTATGGAAGTGGGAGGGTCCTGGCAATTACATAATTTTCAGGAAAGAGTACATTTTGAGATCTTTATAGTGCAGAAACCGGCTGAAAACGACTTGCGTGAGGTCTAATGGTCTCACTTGGAACGATTATGCTGAGGATATATCAACTGATAGATCTCCATCATAATTTTTTGGAATTACAAATTGCTAGTCATATTTTAGCGTCCCGAGTTTTTTTATTGCAGTTGCAATTTTCATCCGATATTCAGGTTCTTAGGCTCAACTTTTTAATAATCAATTTTTTTGAAAAATCAGTAAATTGAACACCGCGATGATTTATTTAAAAACGAATGCATTTAAAAAATGGTAAAGCATTACAAGCTGAGTGCTCGAATTTTCTTGGATAGGGAATTCTTCCGATATTATTAATATCCGAATTATTTCAGGCGAAAATATTAGAAGACATTTTTGTTTGATATTTCATTACATACAGCATAGAAAATTTTGTGCAGAAATTTCCGATACTTTTCTTGGACATTTTTACCAGATGACAGTTCCTCTGTAATCTTGAGGATTCAGATTTCAAGGATTTAGTCATTGAAAATTTGCAATTTTAGTCGAACTATCTCTTAAAAATTAATCCTAGTCTGGTCATCCTATGCGACCCTGTGACTTGGTCACATCGGCGGGGATTCCCCGTGTTATTTAGACATAGGCTAGGTAGATGCATGGGGGCAACATTGCCGAGTTCACTCGAGACTGCCCGGGCGCGTTTAGTGAGTTTCTGGCAACGTCGCGTAACAGGCAATTCCATTTAAGGATATCCAAGTTTTTTTACAATTTGGTACAGACCACATTACAGATACAACCATTTTCAATCATCAAATTTATCAATTAAATTGCATGAGAAAAATTTCAAAAAATGAATATTCAAATTACACGTCATTCAAATTACATTTTACGCAGCACTAATTTTCTGTTAAACGTTCGTTGTTGTTCATAACAAAAAATGAAATTGTTTAATTTTTCAGAAACCTTGCTTTTTTAGGCATCAAATCCATTTCTGGTAAAGTTCTGAATGAGAATAAATTAATGAATTGTAATGCTACGATTCGAAATAGATAATTTTTATGATGGAAATTTTTTTATTTATAAATTATTTATAAACAATCACTAGTAAACATCAGTTTTTTTAGATTTTTAAAATGTTTTCTAACGGTTCAACATCGAGATTCAAATTCAGACCCGCAAAATTCAAATAATAAAATTATTATACAATGTCCGGAAACTCAAATGAACCTCAAACGAAAGCTCTGATGTTCGACTACAAAAGTAGAAAAGTATTTCAGTGGAGAAAAAATAGTCAAAGTAGTTGGATATCCTTAACATGGAAAAAAATAATTCATTTGCTGGAAATAATTTGTTTTCTTAATGAATGTCGGGAATTATGTCGTTCTAAAACTACTATAATTTTTCAGACAATTTAATTGAAAAAGTTTTTTTTTCTGGTTATTTTTCTGGGTAATCGGTCAATGGCAATTTAAGGAAAACGTCGATTTTTTTTCCAATTTAATGCAAATTAGGAAAATTTAGGTAAAAATATTTTTGAATTCTCAGTTGAGAATCACATTGATGTTTCAGTAAAATTTGAAACGTCATAAACCTCACTATATCAAATTCAATGTCGTTCTGCCAAAAATTATCACCAAATTAACCACAAAATTTCAATTTTTTTCTAAGTGTAAAGAATATCACCAAAAATTTCTCCTTTCTGTGATAAATGCGAAATTAGCAAGATTTTAAACTATGGCACTTCACTGTAACAATAGCCCTACAAACCCAAAAACATTCAATGAACACACCATTGTACAGAATATTTAAAAAACTTCTAGGAAACTTATTGAGTACATCTTGATGAACAAATTCAATCCAACAACATGAATATGCGATGCACATCATAAGTCATAGTAATGTTTAAAGAAAAACCTACTCCACAATTTTTTAATTGAAAAACTAGTAATGAAGGAGAAACAGATCTCTTGTGTCTGTGTGAAATTTTGAAATATATTTTCTCCTATGATCCAATATCTACAATAAACACAATGCATCATGGAGGTAATCAAACTTCTCCAATTTTGAAAAGTCAATGACTATAAACTGCAGGCCAATTGAAAAATCCAGTGCATTCAAGAAACTTCGTTGTGTCTCAACACATTTCACAATTTTGAAATTCAAAAAATACTAACGAATACCCATGAATCATTAAATTCTCCCTACGATCTCATCCAAATTGAAATTTCGAAGTATATTTTCTCCCATAATCCAATATCTACAATATATACAATACATCATTGAAGTAATCAAAGTCCCTCAATTTCGAAAAGTCAATGACTAAAAACTACAGGCCAATTCAAAAATCCAATGCATTCAAGAGAGTTCGTTACGTTTCAATGCGTCTGCGTGAAATTTTGAATTAGAGGAGGTTAAGGTAAAATGGACACTTTTGACTTTTTTTTAAACGTTAATGGCGGGTTGAAATGATGATAAAATTTAATAATTTTCATTCCAAAGAACAGTTCTTTCCCTTTGTGATGAGCCTAACCTGAGCTCAATTGATGAATTTGTTTCTGAATTATGAGTAATTAAAATAAAAGTCTAAAGTGTCCATTTTACCCCACTCTCCCCTATATTTTCTCCTCTAATCCAACATCTGCATCCAGCATCTAATAAACACAATGCATCACTGAAGTAATCAAAGTCCCTCCCTTTTAAAAAACCAATGAAAATAAACTGAAGCCCAATTCAAAAATCCAGTGCCTTCAAGAAAGTTCGTTACGTCTCAATGCATTTCACGCCCGCATCAACCCATCACCTCTTGTCTGCGCTCCAACCACCGATCCCTCAAATAAACTCAACAACCCGCACCTCCCATTGCAATTCCCGTCATCCCAAAAAACCTACCTAATCATCAGTGACCTCCCACCGTCAAAATCAGTTGTCACGGAGTTAATCCACCACAGATAATCCACAACATACGATCGAAGCATCTTGTAGATCCCAACACGAACCTTTTCAACGACATTGCTCGCGCCGACTTTTGTCAAACAAACGCGGGGACACTTGTCTCACTCTAGCCATCGTCCACCGCCTGGCATCTCCCGTATATTTTGCACGATAAAAAACCAAAGAAGAAGGCCCTGGGGAAGGGAGATCGAGGGATCGGTGTCACTGAACCGTTGAAAGTAAACCGAACGCACTCGAGTATCACTCACTCGTTTTTTTTCATTATTTTCAACAACTCCTCTTTCTCCTCTTCTTGAAGAACAATCGGGTCTACCACTTGACGAAGAGCCACTCGGTTATTCCGACGCAGTGTATACGACGGGTACCTATAATCCCAGGCACACTGCAACCAGCGGCTACTTTATCGTGACGATCTACCAGGAGCATTAAAACACATCGTGCATTCCACACTGCTGGAGCCTTCTTAGAAACTCACTCTGCACACACGTTTATTTTGTTTATAAATAATTTGGCGGTGGTTTAAACATTTTTTAGATTTGCACACGTGTGGCTGGGAATAGGGGTGGGTAAAGGGTATTTTCCGAGGGGAAGACGGAGAGTCAGGTGGTTGGAAGTGCCGAATAAGGACGCGGGAACGTTCACCGTGGCGTGGAAGAGTCCGACTGAGGCTCGAGATGAGGCCCCCCTGGCGTTTCTCCTTCCACTGGGGCCCGCTATCCACCTCCACCTGCTATAAAGGGACTCGCGAGATTGCGACTCTCTCTCGCGGTGGGCTGCGGGGAGAGACAGGTTACTAGGATTTACTCCTTACTTCGGAAAAGGTTTTTGGGTGCGCTGAGAGAAAAATTGATTTTTTACGACCCCGAGAATTCTTGCCTCGTAAGATCAGAATGGATCCAAGAATGGATAATTTGCAGAAGAACTCATTCGAGGTTGCCACAATAAACGGGCTAGATTGTGAAAATTTATTTAGTTTACAATATTTTGACAATCGTGATCATTGATTGTAACAACACAGCGAAAACGAGTGTCTGAATTTCGTACACGTTTTGGAGACGTTTTTCACTGTTAAGCCTGAATGTTCAAAATTGTATAAAAATACACCTGCGTGAAACACACAGTAGTATAAAAATACAACTGCGTGAAACACACAGTAGTATGAAACTTCAACTGCGTGAAATACACAGCAGTATGAAAATTCGGCTGCGTGAAACACACGAACTTCACGCATGCGTGGAGTGTATGGAGTGTACGGGAGTGATTCACGCAATGGTGCGAATAGTCACGGCCTTTTCAAATTCACGTAAAATAGTTATTTTCATCACAAGGTCCGCAAAGTATTTTTTGACGAATGTGATTATAGGCCTCGCTTTCGGCTCGGCTTACAAAGCCACATTCGTCAGAAAATACTTTTAGACCGTGTGATGAATGCAATTTTTCGTCAGAAGGCCCGTAAACCGCGATCAAACCGAGCGAAGCGAGGTTAGAATCGCGGTTTACCGGGTCTTCTCACGAAAAAAAACTTTATCGCAGCAATGTCAAAACCATACATGTGCATGGTGAGTGACAGTTTTGCACTGTGGAATAGGACTATCGAATGAATATCCTCTCAGTAATTGATATTCGGCCACGCAGAGTTTCGCTGAATGGAATAAATGTTCACGGTCTTTCCATGAAGTTTATTCTAAACAAATGACCTACTTGAGTTAGATGCCTTCAGAAGGAAGAAGGAAGTAGAGAACCAGAGCCTAGAACATTGCAATTCGCTTTGGCTCGTGGGCGAGAACACGCGCCGGATTATGAAAAATAATTCATAGGTAGATACACTGATAGAACGGATTAGTTATTGTTAACGAATGGATTTTGGTTGGAGGCTAGTGTCTATTCGGTCCCACCAAATGTTCATTCGTTAATAGTTAACGAATGTATATTTAAGGAGCCTTGTTTGATTTGACTTTCGCCATTCAAGTGAACCATTCGTTAACTATTAGCGAATATTCATTTGGTCATATTCAACTCTACCATTCGTTAATAGTCAACGATTCTCGTTTGGAATAAATGAATCATTCTATCAGTGTGTGCTCTTGGTAATCACGGTTATCACGTAGGCAATGATAATCAGTGAAATCAGTCCCGTAATCCTGGGTAATCGATTACATTTTGTAATCGCGGTGTCACCCAATTCGCCTGTGAATAGCCCCTCGATCCATTATTAATTATTCATAGTCAATTGGAAAATTTGAATTATCAATTATTTTATAATTTTCAAATTTAACTTAGATCCTTAAGTTATTACTAAAATTAATTATTGATGCTGATCCCTACTTGGTAATCGTTGATTTTGACCATCTTCTAATTTTGACTGGAAATGATGGAGAATGTCTTGAATCGTGAAGATATGACGGTTTTAGTATATGTGTGTATGTATGTCCGGATGCATGTGTCGATTTTTTGGAAATTTGCTATAAATCTTCACAAAAACAACCAGGGATTCGAGCCCATTCGGCAAAAGGTATGTGACTGTTACTTTTTGCCTTATTAGTCTTTTTCTTGTTTTTACTTCTATCAATTCCATTGGTAGCAAGCCTCCGAATGGACCCGTTGCAATTTCCTGTCCCTGTGACAGACATACAGGTTGTCTACGTCAGGTAGATTTTTTAACCTTTTGATGAAATACATTTATACGAAAGGTTAAATATCTCCGAAACCGCCCGGCCGATTGCGTCCATCCAAAATACCAATCTTCAATATTATAAGAGATACAGGGTAAACAGGTCAATTTCTGAACGGGGGTTAGTTTCTGGACGATTTCAACTTGCGGTGAATATTCCATAAATAAAATGAAAATGGTACATGGAGAGAAATATTCAATAAACATTCAGTAGTGAAGTGGTCAAACGGTTTAAGCCGATTTTGACTACTCATGAGTTTTCAATGAATATCTCGCAATCTAAGGCAGATAGAAAAATTTCTGCTATGACCTTTTCGGTAGAGCATCAAAAAATATATGTACGAAAATTTCGCCTTAGATCTCCCTTAGATTTTGAGATATTCTTCGAAAACTCAGCTAAGAGCTACGTCGACTTAAACCGTTTGACCACTTCGCTACTGAATTACGTATCTTTTCCGTAATTCCGTAGCAAAATGTGGTTGCAGGAAATTTTACGGAACTGTCACGGAATTTTTCCAGAGCGTTCTGTAATTTTTATCTGCATCTCCTGTGAAAAATTAAGATTCCGTCACTTAAATTTTCTGAATCGATTCCGTACTCGGTGAGCGAATTGTGAGTTTCGTAATTTTTACTGAACGTTTCTCTCCGTGTACTGATTATTTTACCTTTCAATAATATTACTCGTGTATAATTATGTGATGAATTATTTTTTTATCGATCGGCATTTCATAAATTAAGAACAATATGGCCCAGGCATCCAGAAATTAGGAATTTCAGCTGCATTCAACTATTTCTTAATTTAATCATTCCTGGTTTTGTTATTTTCACTTCAAATAATTTTTTTCCGTTAATTAAAACATTCTGGAAGGTATGGAAGACATCATATCTCCATTTAGGTGATTCTTTTATTTTAGACCCTACCACGAAACTTGAACTTCCCTTAACCGTCCAGCAATTGACCTGTTCGCCCTATATTTTCAATATTTTCCGTTTCTACCTATTTTACATGGATCACAAATTTTTATATTTATTCAAAACGAAATTAGCTATTTTTTATCAAAAATTTTGAAAAAAAACCTGTGTAGCTCAAAAACTAGAGGCCCTGGACAATTTTCAACATTTTAGGCGTCTGCGGGGTAAACGAACAATAAACAATCAATTTTTTGTACTAATTATTTGTTTTTAGACACTGAGAAAAAAAATTATTTCTACCAAATATTCATTTGCTTGAGAGAAGCATTTGTTTTTTCAAAATCGTATTTCTCCAATCGAGTCATTTCCAGCCGAGCCTGATTAGGTTTCAATTATGACAATCATGTTGCTTGGATGAACCCCTCCCATGATTATTCATTTTTTCCTAAATTTCTTATTTTCTAGAGGGAAGAATTTCGGTAAATTTTTTTATATTTATAATTATCGAGGGAGTTCACTCAAGGTCATAACTACCATGATCATCGTCTAGAGCAATACAATTGTCATAATTGAACCCTTATAAGAATTTTCTGGGACTGGAATGACTCGACTGAATAAATACGGTATTGAAAAAATATATACTTCTCTCAAGTAAATGGATATTTGGCAAAAATATATTTTTATCTCAGTGCATATATAATCGATCTTCAATGCATGAGAAATCTCACTCCAATAGCCCACGACTTTTAAAAATCACAGTAGTCTCCCCTTGAAAAAAAAACAATTTTTTGGCGCCAGTAGACTGGTTCGAGATCTCTGCCGTTATTCTCTCAGTGAATGCCCAATTTAATATTCAATATTTCCTTAGAAAATCATTTTATACCATGAGAAGTCCACACTATTTCATTATGCATTGTATCCTATTTTTCTCAAACTTTTTACATACCATGTCTACCCTTTCAGCTTCAGCAATTTTTCTCAGCTTTTTTTTTCTCATTGGAGGAGTGACTTTCATCGGCTTAAGAGTCATATCTGATGGCTTCGAGAGTAATTCGACACCGCGAAAACTGGAATTCGATACTCCCTGTCACGATCAAGTTTCTCGGTACTCGTGAAGGCATCAAATTCATCGAACTAAAATGTTTTTGTATTTTTTTTTCCCGACAAAAATGTTAGTTAATGAAGATTGGAGAGTAAAAACCGAATGTTGCACGTTCCTTTTGTGAATTATCTCCGAGAAAATAATAAGTACATGTGGAGGAATCCGGAAACACCGGGAGTCTTCCCAGAAATTTGTGGGTAGCCGGTGTCGCGGAAGGAATTCCAACGATTTGTACTGTGCCCACCGCGGCCATGTTCACAAGTACTGACTATTCTCAGTCGGTAAGTGTCGAGATTGCAAGAGATTTTCCGATATCAACGATAGAGGGACCAAGAGGGCCACTGAGGAAAGACAAACGTCAGAAAAAAAACCGAAACACTGAAGAAATTTTTAACATTACGTTTATTTCCCTCACTCTCCCAAGATAAAATAATTAGAAAGTTGACAGAGAAAAATTAAAAATTGAAAATTCACTTCTTGAAAGTGAGTTTGTGAATTTAATCGTAAAATCTGCGGATTTTTTCCTCTTCATTGTGAGTGAATCTAAATCAAAACACCGGCTCGACGAGTGGAATCCGAAGGGGGCGATGACAACGTAAACAAAATTGAACAGAATAGAGGTGACTTGGTTGAGTGAAAATGACGAGTGACAATGGAAACTGAAATGATGTGTTCGTTAAAAATGTAGTCCAGTATTTAAACCAATATTATTACAATTTTTTAAGGGTTCTGTTTCACTTTATCTATTATTATTAGACCTGGGGACTTATTATTATTCACTCGAGAAGCTTGTGATTATTTTTAATTGAAAGATTATTGATCAGTGTCGATTGATAAACCATGAATATCATCAAAGCACCAGAATTAAAACGAGGAAGAAAGAAGAAGATCCATCCAGCATTTGATTCCTCAAGGAATGAACGCAAAGTTTCACGGTCGAAACGTGTTGCTGAATGTGACAAAGTGAAGGAGAAAACGTTCGAGGATGCAGAAAATACCTCAAAGAACAACAAAAGGGGGAAAAAGGTAATTAGGATAGCATGAAGAGAAGATTGATGCAGGAGCTGGCATTTAAATTTTGTCATGGCTTCTTTTATTTACGATTTTCTTTGGTCCTCAGGGGAGGAAAGCACTGGCTGATGTGAATCGTTTGTCAATGGCTGGTCCAGTGAAGACGATCGATCGTCCACCCACACCGGTGAGTGAGAAAATGTGGAAATCAATTTTTTTAGATCCACCAATTTGTGAGTGATCCAGAAGAGTACGTAGAAAAGTTCATGGAAAAACCTAGTGCATGCGTTAGAAAATTCTACTGCATTTTTATTGGACTCATGGAAAATCTTGGTTCTTCGCTAATTCGATGATGTTCAATAGAAAATATTTTGTAGGAAAAATCTGTAGCGATGTGGTAAACTAGGAGAAGTGCAAAAATGGAAGTTTTTCAGGAGAGTTAAAAAATTTAACCACGTTTGAGAGAACTTTCGATTCAAGCAATAGAAAATTTTTCATAAAAATTGTACTTATCCTAGGTTACCACTTCACTACAGAAATCATTAGGGGCCGATTGCACCAAGCCCTGTGAGCCAAATAAATTGTCAGAATAAATTTGTCTCGAGTAAATGTATTCCACAGGGGACAATTTTAGGTATTCGTCCGAGTGTCAAAAATTTTCGTATGCAATACCACAAGAGCTTCAAAATTATCAGGTATTTCTCGATAAGTTCGTTTGTGTGCAGGAAACCTTGAGATTACCTGATTAGTTTTGAATCTCGAGTGGGATTCGGAAGAGAATTTTTCCATTCAAAATTCGCCCAAGAGAATTGCACTATTGCACTCACTCGACCAAGAAATCTTTTTTTTTCATACAGATCTCAACATAAAAAATTACCAGTAGAATTATCAGATATTATCAGTTGAATACCATGGAGAATTCGAACATTTCCTATAGATTTCCTATAGGATTTCCTATAGGATTTTCTATAGGATTTCCTAGAGAATTCACTATAGGGTTTTCTGTAGAAAGTAACACACAAAATTGAGACTCAAAACCAATCGGTCACAACGGTCAGGATTAGGGTCATAAATCTGATAGGAAACTCTATAGGGAATCCTATAGAAAATCCTGTGGGAAATCCGATAGGAAATCCTATCAGAAAAATCCTATAGGAAATGTTCGAATTCTCCATAGGATTTCCTATAAGAAATCCTATAGCATTTTTTTATATGTACATGTACGTATGTAACCAAGTTTTTCTTCAATTGTTCGCTAATGAATGGATGAAATTGAATCTTTTTTTTCTCAAATGTAGGTATTATTGAGCCATATCAATTGCCATTAATTCAAATTTAATTTATCGATTTTTTTTATTTTCGAAATTTTTTGAAAATCGGTTGTCCATGATAATTAAAAAAAAATGGTCTGAATTGATTGAATGATGGCTTAAAAAAATTGTTTGGATGTCCCTTTGACCGAGTTTGAAGATGAAGGCGATAGCAACAATCATCATTTTGATTGAGTCGAAAATTTTCAAAAATTTTGTATTTATTGAAAATCATGCTTCAAAATCCCTCCTCAGAACAAGAAAACAAAATAAAACAAGCGCACTCTGTATCTGTTTTGTTGGCTATGAAGCTATTTATTTTGAGAATAAAAAACAGATTTTAAGAGAAAACATTGAAGGACATCATGTCAGCAGTTTCGTCAGCAATGTAAATGATCTCCCTCTCGGAATTTTCTCGTGACACGTCACGTTTCCACCAAGTAACGATAGAAAAAAATTCTTTTTTTTCTTCTATAATTATCTGCTGTTTATCATAAATGGGGGATTAAATGGTTAATTTTACTCCACGTAATTTAAAAAGAATTTAAGGAAAAATTCCGTGACTGGAAGATTTATCAACAAATCAATTGCTTGACAGACAAGATGATAAACAAGATGATAGGGAAAAAATAGAGATCAACATAAAGCCCCGGGGGGGGGGCAAAAATGATTTTTTAACGCTCTAATTCTCACAGATTCATTCTCCGAGTAGGAGTCTCACAAGGGACGACTGCAGCTGATCAAGGTTTTCCCTCAAGTGAGGGTTTTCCTTGATCCTCGGCGAATGCGGTACTGTGGGTTGGGGAGTGGGAAGGGAACAAAGCGTAAAAACCCGAGAGGATACCCGAAAGAACACAAATTTTTCGAAATGGAGGTCGATTCAAATAAAAATATTCTGGTTAAGTTCGTGCTCAATTAGTAGTGGGATTAATATTAATAATTAATAATTTAGAAGTGCCACAATAACATAGAGACTTATGAAAATATAAATTTAGAAAAAATCTTTAAAAAAACAGAAAAAATGAATAAAAATTTACGCCTAATGCGAAAATTATTGTCAGTGTCAAGATTTTGTGATAAATAATTCAGTAGCAAAGTGGTTAAAGGAGATGAGTCAATTTTAACTATTGACCAGTTTTCAATCAATATCAATATAATTCCAATATCTCGGAATCTAAGGAAGATAGCAAAATTTTTGTTATAACCTTTTTTATGGAGCCGATTAAGTGCTACAATAAATGTAATTACAATAATTTCGCTATCTCTCTTAGATTCGGAAAAATTCCTCAAAAACTCAACTGGGAGATAAGTCGACTTATCTCCATTTACCACTTCACTACTGAATTTATGTTTCTGGGTATCCCGAACGTGCAGAATGCCCTAGGCAAATGAGCAACTATTGTTTAAGAAAATAATTGTAAAGAGAAATTGATGGATTAATTTTTTACTCTCGTCAAAGTTGGAATTCACGTAACAAATTGTCAATGATAGATAATTTGTTTTCGGGTATTTTAAATTTATCTTTCCTCGCTCCACTCAACGACTTACGTAGAGTTTGGACATGCTACTTTAATATCTCGACTTTCCAATAATTTCAATGCTAAGAATTTATTTTATTGAATCTGAATGAAAATTCCCTTCAAAATTCTTCTGGATCATTCTTTCGTGAACAGCATCATCCATGAACCATTATAATGTATCCTTCAAAAATTTACTCTTAAAAATGAGCAATCAATTTTCTAAAAATGGCCCAATTGTTTCAGATTAAAGCATCTAGTTTTTACCACACTTCTGAATCAAAACCCACAAAATGCTTGAATCCTTTCGCGAAGTCCAGAAACACCCACTCAGCAGATCCAAAAGCTCCCCCAAACCTGCAAAACACAATATCTCCGATTTTATTCGGTATGCTGACTCAAACAAAGCGATCTCCTGCGAACTCACAATGGGAGACATTGGAAGAAATCGAAATTGCTGGAGACGATTCTGACGATTGCATCGAGATCCTCAGTGAAGAGCGATTCTTGAACATTATAAGTTCCGGTATTTCTCCTGAGATCAACAATAATGGAAGGGAGATGCCAAAGCTGAAGAAACACATCCTAGAGCAAAGGATTGCTCCAGCTCGTCCTCGACAGACTGAAGAACGTAAGAATGATAAACTGAGGATCAGGGAAGTGAAGATCTATCACGAGCAGAACTTCAGTGTTCGAGATTTCTTGGAGAGGAGCAAAAATCCTTATGATTATTTTTTCAACGCCAATCGGATTTGCTCTCCCAATTCCACATTAATTGACTTCCTCACCAACTTTTTTCCCAACATTAGAGCAGACGCAGTTGAAAGAATGTATGCGACTGCTAAATACAATATGAGTTTCGCTGCCTTTGGGTTGAATAGAATGAAGACTTCACATGGATTACCCAGGGATTGTTACGAAGTTGAAGCTGAAAATATCAGTCAACTTCAAGAGATGAAATTTGTCCATAATTTCTGCAAAATGATCAATAAGAATATCGGCAAGTGATTATCTAGGCTTGTTGGACGTGTTGAAATTATTCGGAAAATGGGTGGTTGGAGAGAAAAATAAATAAAGACGGTTTTTGTTGGTAATTTTATCTGCTGCAGAATAGGTTTGTGGACATTTCTGGTCAATAGAGTTCATCTGTGAGATTGGTTTGAGTCAAAATTTTCATTGGACGTTTCGAGGCGTTTTTAAGATTTTATTCGATTTTTTTTTCGGAATTCTCATAGACCTCGTTTTCAAGTAGTTAAGGATCAAAGTCATTTGCTATACATTAATCCTTATGGAGACCTTCCAATTACCGTAAAAGTATTTTGTTGACACTGGCGCTACGTTCTCCTCGTGCCGAAAAGTCCCTTTTCATTTATTCGTAAATGAAAAGTAAACGACTAGTGTCTTACAGAGCTAGTGCCATGGGGTTTTGTAGTGATTTTCAAATTTACGAGTTTGGGGAAGGGTCAATATAATCCCCTGTTGCTACGTTCACCTGGTACCGAAATAGTGTATTTCGTTACGAGTGCGGAAATAGTATCTTATGTCATAAGGCGACAAAAGTATTATTTTTAGGCACGCGAAGCGCGCCTAAAAAGTTACTTTTTCGCAGAGCGTGATGAGAAGTACCTTTTCGTTTACTCGTTTACTTGTAAACGAACAAAGGCACAGTTCCGCACAAAGTCAGCACAAGTCTTTTCGTTTTACAAATAAACGAAAAGACTTTTCGTTTACTTTTCGTTTACGAGTAAAAAGGCACTTTACGGCCCGAGGTGAAAGTAGAAGCAGTGTCAAAATAGTATATTTCGTAACGAGCTAAAAAACATTTTTTCACGAGTTACGAACAATATTTTTCATCACAATGTGGCGGAAATTGGACTTTTAGGCACACGGAGCGTGAAAACTATTGTTCGACACATGTGAGACGGGAATTTTCAGATCGTGTGATTGGCAGTCCTTGGCTTCGTTTCAGGCTGCCAACTTAACACTCGTGAAAATTCCATCTCACTCGTATCGCAATGTTTCCTTGACATTATTTTGATTATTAGAATTCAATAAAGCTCTTAAGTTACAGTATTTGATCGACGAAGGAGTTTTTGGCGATCCTGCTGTTGCTTCATTGGAGAATATTTCATTTCCATTTTCACCAAATGTCACATCACCAATCAACTCCTCCTCATCAGTAAATAAATCCTCACTGCCTAACTCTTCATCACTATCAGGAATTATACGATTTTGGCTCATTTTATCTGCTTCGAAATCACCTTTTCCTTTTTCAGTCATTCCATGTATTCACTATTCGGAGGATAGTGAAATACAAGAATCCGGTCACAGAAAAATTTTACTAAATCCTTTAGAATTTGAGATATACATCGAGAACTGGCGGTTGAATAGAATTGACTTAAACCGTTTGATCACTTCACTACTGAATTAGTTTTGTCATTTAAGAATAGTGAATGAAACAAGTTAATGTCAAGACAAATGATGACGCGACGAATTCAGTAGAGATCAATAAATAATGAGATAGACCCTTGTAAAATTCATCCCTCATACGGTATGATCCTTACGAGGCCCTCGAGACGCATGATCCTGGCGACGTGTGAACCTCGTGATTTATCATCCTTGGATGTATAATCTTCGCGAAGCTTCACGGTTTACCATAAAAGGTAACGTCGGCCGGTTTTGTACATTTTTCACATTTACTACGAAAATTACGGGTTTTTTACAATGTCATGTAAAAAACTACCGTTCTCGACAGATGCCCAACCCTACCCTCAAATACCGCTAAAAATTCCGCGTCAGTGTCCCCAACCCCCACCCGCCCAACATCGTCAATCTTCGCACTCCCCACCGTTGGCATCAGTGCTCCTAGAAAACATGGCGTGACACGATGGCTGTCTCGAATTACGAAAGAGCACAAAGTCTTTCCCGGGGGAATAATTCTAGTACGACCACAACGTTAGTGCGAAAACCTCGATCAGTGGTGCATTTAATAATCTACTGTGCATACACAAACAAATGTAAGATGAATTACGACATAACATGGATTATTCCAAAACTCAGGCGGCCCACGATACTATGGCACTTTGCTAGCTCTTTGACATTCGCCGCTGTTGGAATATTCTCCAAGATAATAATCCGTGAGTAATTATGTTCAATTAGCCGAAAAAAAACCATCATCGAGACTGAGTGGAAAAAAAAATGTGGCGATGACAAGCGGCAGTTTCCTGTCATCGTCACTTCTTCTAAAAGTTTCATTCCTCCTGTCCCCAATTTTTCATTACTTTATTCAATAGAATCGATTGATTAAATTGTTTGTCATTGACAGTGATTATTTATTTATGCAGAATGGCTGAATAAAACGACAGTCTTTAACAAACACTTAATCGAGAAGGCCTTGGACAAGAGACCAAAGAATGTCCCACTCATTACAGTATCCAATCATCACAGTTGCTTCGATGATCCAGGAATATGGGGTAAGTAGTGTTGTATCATTGAGGAGATTGCAAGTGAGACAGTTCATGTAACCGAATGGGTTGAGGATAGAATCGGTCAGTGAGGTGAGGATAGAATTCCTTCAGTGAGGTGCATAATGTGGAGAGAAAAGTGAAATGTCAATTGGATACGATTGCACTGACAATAGCTCATGAGATTGATGTTTATTTTATTATTTGAAACTTGCAATTGTTGAGGATAATTGGTTTTTTCAAACATTCTTCAAAGTCGACAGATATTCGTGTCTCTCAATTTGTTCATTGTGAAGTTGTCTGTCGGTTTTCGAAATGTTTTTGCTGACTTTCTTTGCTATTTTGAGGTATTTTTTTTTCTTAATTGTGGGACCGATTCGTTAGAGAAGAGATTGGAAATAGATAAAGAAGATAGGAGTTTTATGAGGTCGACTTTTATACACCAGATTAGGAACTATAAAGAATTAATTCTGGTAAGGGGAGACTACTATGAGTTTTAAAAGTCAGGGGATATTGGAATGAGATTCTCAGACATTGAAGATCGATTATATATGTCTAAAACTGAATAATTAGCGCGAAAAAATTAATTGTTTATCGTTCGTTTGCCCCGCGGACGCTTAAAATGTTGAAAATAATCCAAATTTTTTTTCAAAATTTGTGAAAAAATATGTACAATAACAATTACGAATTAGTTTTTTGAAATTCGACTCCTACACTGCTCATTTCGTTTTTTTTTCAATGAAAAAATAGATCTTTCATGTAAAATGGCCAAAAAAATGTTTCTGAAAGAATCGAGAATGTATTTTAAACATTATAAAGATAATTTTTTGTCTATTTTACATGAATAGCGCAAATTTTTATATTAATGCCCGGGTGGATTATCTATCGAATGTTATCTCGATTTTTTCCATCTTCATAATGTAAAATATGTCACAATTTCTATTGGATTTTACATCACGCAGGAATCCCTAGAAATTTTGATTGTACAATCAAAGAAGAAAATACTTTTCACAGCTGAGGAAATTCTCTTTATTAAACGAAGAAAAATTGCACGTTTGATTTGAATCATCAACAACTTATTGATTATTGAATTACTTCAATAAAGAGGAAAGTCTTCTTCAAAGGACCTTTTTTGTAGCAGAGAAAATTCTCAAAAGAAATGTCTTTTTACATTTCCTTGTGAAACTACTCTTAAAACTACACTAAATTATCTTATAATCAAGTGGCTTTAGGAGAAATAATTGAGAAAAATTTAGCTCATAAATTGTCTACAATAAGTGTCTCTACGTTTCGTCTCGAACTCATTATTAACCCGTATTCACATGACGTTTTACGTTGCATTATGCAAAATTATGATAATGAATTGGATAAAAAGACGTGACTGGACGATTCGCATTGTGATTGAGAGAGAATCCTCTCTCACGTGGTTTGATTCAGTCTGACGTAGCTTTGCATTATTTATTCATAGAAAATAAATGACGTTGGCTTTCACTGGTTGTTTCAGCCACCCTGGACCTGCGACATTTGCTCAGCAGAAGGAAAATACGCTGGTCATTAGCTGCACACGATATCTGCTTCACCAATGTATGGCATTCCTATTTCTTCATGTTGGGAAAGTGCATACCTACGATTAGGGGTGATGGTGTTTATCAGGAGGCCATTAACTTCTGCATTGAGAAGCTGGGGTGTGGGGACTGGGTACATGTCTTTCCGGAAGGAAAAGTCAATATGTTCAAGGAGAATATGAGGTTTAAATTGCTGTTTTGTTTTTTTATTCAATCGAGTGAAGTGGAAACACAAATTTCTGATGTCAACGGGATTTTTACAAATTCATTGGATTATTTTTTAACATGATTTTATGGTGATGAGAGTGATAAAATTTCTTCATCTCATTAAGGACATCCAAGTACTTTGGCTATTTTTTCTCCAGTGAAATGCTTTTCTACTTTTGTAGTCGAACATCAGAACTTTCGTTTGAGTCCCATTTGACCATAAGTTTCTGGACATTTTACAATGATTCTATTATTTGAACTGTGCAGGTCTGCATTTGAATCTCGATATTGAATCGTTAGGAAGCATTTTAAAAATCTGAAAAAAAAATAGAAAGTCAACTTTTGGAGGAAGATTGATGAAATAATTAAAAAATTGTAATTTTTGGAAATTACGGGCATCTATAAATAATTTAGGGGAGAGTGGGGCAAACTGAAACAGTCGAAAAATGACTATTTGATGCAACTCAAGCAAAACAATTTTTTTTTATTAACTCTTTCTATTATTGGGAGTTCTGATGAGAACAATAATTTGCCATTCAGTAGCATGAGAAATTATTGAGAATTTTTGAGGGTAGAGGATTTTGTCAATGGATTAATTGAAAATAAAATGAACCAGCAAAATCGAAAGTCCAGAGCAAGGCCCGAGGGAAGACCCAGAGGGGGAAATAGGAAAATGAGATGCTGAATATTAATCGAATGAAAAAAGAAAAGTATGATCTAATCAATTGAATTATAGTCAACTGAAGTATAAGACGATTAGAAAATTATTATTCTCATCAATACTCCCTATAGTCTAACAAGAGTTGATAAACAAAAGTTGATAAAGAAAATTTTTTTTTGCTTTAATTTCATCAAATAGTTGTTTTCGGCTATTTCATTTTCCCCCATGTTTTATTTTGCTCCACTGTTTCATTTTACCCCGCTCTCCTCTATAAACAATTAATTTTCCGCCACAAAAATCATTTCTTCGGAATGGTAATAAATTTATTCATATTCAGAATTTTACCAGAAATCGATTTCGTGCCTAAAACAATAAAGTTTTCGAAAGTTTAAACAATTTCAATTATTTATTTATAAACAACGAATGTTTAAGTAAATTAATTCTGTGCAAAATGTAAAAGATACTTGGATATCCTTAATGAGTAATTTCGAAAGAAAAAAGTCATCGAACTTCCATTAATTATGAAATTACCTCAAACATCAGTTATTTTAAGAAAAAATTCTTCTGAAATCATTCATTCTCAAAATAATGACATAATTACATATGACGATAGCTTCAGCTGTTTACAATGATACCAACAACCCATTGCGCTATAAAAAGAACGTAATACTTCGAGAATTTATTAGTCATTCGGAATAATCAGAAGGTGTTTGTAAACTTTTCAAAGTATTATTCCTGCGCAATTCCTTCCGGAAGTTATAAAACAACATATCAACTATTCCAATAGTCAATTTATCTCGAAAGACAGAGGTGCCAGCTGAAAATTTTGAAAGACATTTTTTGAAGCCAAGGAAATTCTGAACAAAAAATATCTTCCGGTTTTTGTTTCAAACCCCATTCTAATCGAGATAATTGCCCGGCTGCACTTGCGAATATCAAAATATTCAATTCCTTTTTATCTTGTTACCATGAAATTTATGGTTATCGTAAAATTCGTAGTAAAAATTGATTTGTGTTTCTTCCATTCAGCTCGATGTCCTCGATTCATCAATTACGAGTCAATTTCAACTAACAAATAATCCAGGTTGAGATAAGAGTCAGAGTAGCTTAAATTCGCAGGTTGAAATGGGGAATAGGGAGATTGATAATGGAATCACCAGTGATGCCATTAGTTGTACCAATTTATCACATTGGAATGGATGAGATTCTACCTAATGAACCACCATACATGATAAGGGTTGGGAAACGAGTGACCTTGTATTATGGAGAGCCCATAGACTTTAGTGATATGTTGAAGGAGCTGAGGACAGCAAATGCTAGTGAGATGGAAACTAGAAAGGCCATAACTGACCGAGTCGATGCGGAACTTCTAAGGTACATGAAATGGATTTTCGTTAAGGATATCCAAGTATTTTGATCATTTTTTTTCTCCAGTGAACTGCTTTTCTACGTTTGTAGTCAAACGTAGTCAACATTTGACCCTAAATTTCCGGACATTTTATAATGATTTGTTTATTTAAAAATGCAGATCAAAATTTGAATCTCGATATTGAACCGTTAGAAAAAATTTTTTTAATCTGAAAAAAAAAAAATTTACTTTTGGAGGAAGATTAATATTCGATTTTCCCCAATTATCTTTCGGATATATATCAGAAACCTATCGGAGTTAACTAGGAAATATATTTTCCAAAAAGATTACTTCTTGCTTCTTGCTCAGTTCCCGAAGAATATCTCCGAATCTAAGAGAGATAGCGAAATTTCCGTGAAAATATTTTGTGTAGTTCTTAATTTTCCCTACAAAAAAGGCTTTGGCAACAATTTTGCTACCTACCTCAGATTCTGAGCTGTTCATTAAAAAATGATCTAGAGTCAAAAACGACTTTAACCATTTTACCACTTCGCTACTGTTGGGAGACAGTTGAGAGACTTAGGGAAATTATTTTCCAATTTTTTTTTGAAATTTCCATTCACAAAAGGGAATTATTTAGATTTTTTAATTTTTAGAGAAATTTGATTTTTGAGATAGGTAAAAAAAGATTTTTCAGTTTGAGTAGGAATTTTCGACGAAAATTTTTTGTGCTCTCGATCTAAAATGGTTTTAATTACCTCACACCATCAAAAATGTGCTAAAATCGCAAAAAAACGTTAAAAATCTCCCGCTGCACCCCGAAAAATCGTATATTCGGTTTGAATTTCTAACCAAATGCACTATTCGGTTCGGTTCAAGAGCCGGTCACACATGCCTAACGATTAAAATGCTTCCATTCGGAAGCAAAAATAAAATTTCTATTCATTAATGACTTTTAATTGTTATTTCAGGTTAAAAACAATCACGGAAGACCTCCACGTTAGATCTTGACGTCCGAGTGACGGTTCACACCGTCACTTAACTTAGAATTAAATTTGATCAATTTCAATTGAACGTCCACGACACAAAAGATCATTGAAAGACCATTAAAAATCGAACACTCAAGAATGATCAATGTTTCACCCATATTTAAACTTCATTATCTTTATACACCTCCATGACCACAACAATCAACATGGATTGCAAAAGCAGTAGAGAAGAAACAAAAGAGAACAAAAAAAGAGAAAAAAAATCATACAATTAGTGTCAAAAGGTCGAGAGCCATCAAAACAGGTGATTGATTATCTTAAGTTTTAAGTACATTAGAGCTACAATTTTTGTAGATGTCGTATTCAATGAGAGGCCTAATCGTCTCGGAGATGTAAATAAAGTTAATTCAGTATATTATTTTTATTAAATCTGTTTACGTTCGTGCCTGGATCGTTGATCTCTGGAACTATGGGATTTAGGGGAAAACCCTGAGAGATCGTTTGTGTCAAGATTTTCAAGGGCAATAAAAATTTATTTTTCACTAAATTCTATAGTTCCGAAAATATTCGTGAAATAATAGTTATCAGTTCAAAATGTTTTTTTTGGGATTATCCCCAAAATAAAGGGTTTTAGAGAAAAATGTTGCAAGAGTTTTTTTGTAACCCTCTAAATTCCTGACAACAAAATGAAGGCATTTTCTCCCGAGCCCAACATTTTCGGAGATATTTGCAAAATAATCATCATTAATGTGTCCAAAATTGTTTCACAAATTTGGATTATGGTTTAGTTATTTAATTGTCGAAAGAGTTTTTTTTTTGTAGCCCTCTAAATTCCTCACAAAAAATCTGAACATATTGTTCCCTAAACCTAATACTTGCAGAAGATAGGTTTATGTATATATTTGAATTGGGGCTTGGATTGGTTTGGCTTGGATTGGATTTTCTTAATCATCTTGAAAACTAATGGGTTTAGAGAAAAATCTTATTTGTGCCATATAAATTGATAACAAAATAGATTTGAACAAATTTTTCGCTGAATTCAGAAGTTTGAGAGCTATTTGTAGAATGATCATTGCAATAAAATATTTTTACGTTGAAGTGCCTAGATTGCACTAGAGTTTAAGAGGTAAAGAAGATGTTTCTATGAATAGTCACCAAGAAGTGGGTAATTGTGTCAATGAAACGAAGCAGGGCATCCAAAAATGCTCTTGATAGTTTCTAAATGGATTATTCAAGGGCTTCGGAATTATTCATAAATTGGATTAAATATTTGTGACTAAATTTACTTTAAAAAATGATTGAAAAATGCAAAAATGTCGTGAAAATAAATCACATTACGTCTCAAACTGAGACGCTTATTCCGTTGAATAAGTGAGAATGAAACCATTTCGCCAATTTGAAAAATAAAGATACAACTCTTAAAACCAACATGATTATATTACGTATTTTTTAATATTCACAGTTCAGATACACAGCACATACAACGTCGTCAAACACTGGTATGTTCATGATTTGTATTTCTACACGCAAACAACTCGAATTTCATAGACTTGTCGGATTTCTCCTTGGCACATACACATCCTGTTCAATGTTTTGTAATGTCTCTTCTTTCTTTGTAAACTGATCACTCATTCGGTTGACGATCATCCAACATGTCAATGCGAGGTCTTTACACATAATTAACTCTTTCAAACAACTCAGTGTTGAAATTCATCGATTGAAGAACGTAAAACGACGACTCACAGCACACAACATTGAAATTATTTCGATAATGAATGATTCTATGACAAAATGTCAAATGTAATTTTATAAATCTAGTAAGAATCAATTAGAAGATTCTCACGAATATCTTTGAGGGCAAGTATTCCAGTGAAAAATGTCAGGAAACCTTTGTTTGTAGATAACTTAATTCTTTACAGAAAGGTCTGTCAACAGTCTGTGATAAGCCAACTGATTCCAGAGATATTCACAAAAAACTAAATATAATTTTCACAAATCGATCGAAAATAATTTTGCAGTTATTTGCATACATCTTCAACAGGAAGAGATTTATCTGAAGAATTCAATAACCTTCACTTGTGAAAACTTTGGTCTCTCGACCTGTTTTGAGTAAACCTACTAGTCCTGGAAGAAATTTGTGAAATAATTTTCATGAATTTGAAATGTGGAATATAATTGTGATAAATCAAGTAAAAATCAATTGAAAGATCTTTATAATTATATTCAAGGGGAAGCTATTCAACGAGAAATGTCAGTAAACCTTCGTGCATCACTAAAATCTCCACTAACAGATCTTTCCACATTTTTTAATGAACCAGTGTAAAAATATTCGTAAAAAAACAAATGTAATTTTTATGAATCAGCCAACAATGATTTTCCAGCTATCTGCATATATTTTCGAAAGGAAGAGATTAATTGAAAAAATCAATAAGATTCTCTTTAGAGATGCCCTGAAGAAATGGCTGACATTTACTATATACTACCGGATTCCAAAAATATTGGAGAAATGATACTTTGGATTTTGTCCAATATTAGTGTTCATAGTTCTGTGAATATCTTTGAAAAGAAAAGCTTTTATGGACAGGTGTCAAAAGAACCTTGTTGTAAAAAAATCCACATCCTAAAACTAGATCACTCGACATTTTTCAATGGACTCACTGATTCAAGAGCGATTCACAAAAGCACATGAATTATAATCTCTACGAAATTGTCGAAAATGAATTTCCAGATGTCTGCATGAAAAGTCGGAATGAAGAGGTTTGTTGAGGATGGTCAAAAGACATTTACCTCGCAAACCCACTCACTCACTTTCGAAACAATTGCATTATCAACAGAAAAATTAACTTCGATTCATCTCCTCAGTCATTTCCCAATCGCCTGACCATCAGTTGCATTTTCCACAATTTTTTTATATTTTATAACTCTAGGACGTGAGAGGAGTGATTTTCTGACATGAACATTATTAAATTTCTGAAGGACAAGGAGATGACAACTATTTTCATTATTCAGCCACTTTTCTTATTTATTTAATCCTTTTACTGATATACGTTGATTTTTTCATTTTTAGTTTAACTTCACGTATTTATTAAATATAACTTTTTTTCATGTGTATATATCTCATATATTTTTACATAAAAACCTTGCAGGTATTTTCATCCGACAAAATAAGATAAACTCAACAGAAGAATAATATTCTTTTATACATTCCATCGTCTCCCGACCTGACGTTGGAAATATAACAATTATTAAAATCGATATATTAATTTACTTCTCTACCTCGTCGCATCTCTCATCTCGTTATTAAACATTTCTTTTTCCTGTTTATTTACAAAAGCTTAATTGGCAACGTAAACGTTAAGTCCTTAACTTCGATATGAGGTTTTCTTTGTAAAACGTAAGAGGTACAAAGTAAGAAGACAAGCGGAAATAATGTCAATTCATTTCGGCGAAATCATTAAATTCCTGGAGTTTGGGGATTTGTTCGATTATTAACCAGCACATGATTTTGAGGAATCAACACTCGGGATAATACTCTTAGGTAGCTATCGCTTTTAATGTTTTTTGGAATGGAAACTAAAGACGCAGGCTACATCTAGGCCACTGGTTTCTTACCCTCAGACAATCATTTCAGGAGAGAAGTGGTGAAAAGAGATGAAAGAGAAAATGATTAACAAAATCTTCGTCAATCCACAACTTAATCGGCACGTAGTTTTCGCAATTATCCCCTTTCTTTTACCACTGCCCTCGCAGATTTAATTGAATCATTAATTCGTTCCTTCAGATTTCTTTTAAAGCTAGATTATCAATCTTTAATTATTTCCATTGGTGACCTTGCGGAGATTAGACTTATTGAAATTACATATACTGCCGAGCAGTGCAGTTCTGTCGTTCCCAGCTGGAGGTGCTGCGGGTTGACTTTTTAATTGCTCTGATGGCACTGGCATCGGTGGCGGTGGCGGTGGAGGTCCCACGTTGTTGTTTATGTTATTGTTGTTCCTCAGGGGATGGCCTTGATTTTGGTGCTCGTTAGAACCTTCAAATGGATAAATACATAATGATCACCATAAACTCACAAAAATAGCAAACTAAACGTTCTATAAAAGGCGAAAGAAAGAGAAGTTGAGAGAAAAGATCAATAGTTCAGTCCATACTTTTCAATTATTCAATTACTCTTAATGTGATCAAGCACCTTTTGATGACCTACGTGTCATAATCGAACGCAGTACGCGCCATCAACTTTTGTGTCCAGCTGGATCGAAATTCAAATATTGATGAATTGGTAAAATATTGAGATGGTTATTTCTTATGAGGGAAATTTTGCAGTGAAAGAGTAAAATGTAACGAGTCATTTTACCCCATTCTCCTGGGAAATTATTGGGATAATGACGAGGTTTAGAAAAAAATGTCAAGAGCCATTTTTCACGGGGAAGTTTTCAAACTACAAAATAGGGTCCTTGACATTTCTTTAATGCACTCTTAGAAAAAAATGGGAATTTCATGGGCAGTTTAGTAGTTATCTTATGAAAAGCGACATTGAAAAGCGAGGATGTTATGAGACATCCTCACGCTTTTAACTGAACAAGAAAATATGAGCCGGGAGCCCATCAAAAAAACCTGGTCAAATTAACTTTGGGAAAATGCACTGTTGTGAATATGAATGAGATTATTGAGATTAATTTTTCAATTATGATTGAAAATTTAAGAATGTATTCACCTGAATTTTTATGATTTTATTAATTTTTCAATAATTTTACAGATTTTTTACATCCAATTGTGAATTTAAAATGAAATTCCTTCCAATTTCAATGAAACAGTCACTTGATAAAAACTTGCAAAAAGTGTAATCCGAAAAAAAGAATTCAATAGAATTTCCTAGGAAAAATATTTTTCATAATTTTTTATACTTGTAATTTGATATTGTGAAATTCTCAATGTTAGAAAACTTTCTGATTAAGGAATTGAAATAATTACCATGGGATGGAGGTGTCAGAGTACCGACACTGGTCGTGGTGGATGTACTTGTAGGACTGTCAGATCTCTCAGGACTTTTTCCATTAATCTGTTTGAGTCCATTGGTTCCGAGGTGACTTGAAGATCGTTGTTCTTGAGCTAATTTCTGCTCCTTTTTCTGTAGAAGAAAGAATAAGCGAAGTCAGTTATTGATAAAGGAAACACATGGACATACCTACGATCTACCCAACAATAAAATGAAATAAATGATAATTTCACTGATTATGAGAGAAATTTTCTTAACTTTTTTTCTAAAACCTTTGAGTCATAAAATAAATCGACAATCATTTGAGCCTGTTTTATGAAGCAAAATGCGTTTTTAACAACAATTTTCAATTACCAAATTATCATCAATGATATATTCAAATTCCGAAATAATCTATCAACCAGTAATCGTGTCAGATGTTTGATCATTACATGTCTAATTGAAAAATCCCTTTATGAAATTTATAATTATTTACTCAATAGTTAATAGAAAATTTAAATCATGAATTATTTTCATATTTTCAAATTTCAAATAACATAATAAAATTATAATAATAGAAAGGTGCAAATTCTAATATTACAAAATATTACAAATGTAATGATTGTCGACTGATCGCTGTTTTCAATTAACGATTTTTTGGCCCAAACAAGACTTATTTGAGAACTGATTCTTTTTTCTCTCAGTGTAGTCAACGACAAAATGTATCTGTCAGATGTTCAGAAAATGTGCAACAGGCTTCAAATGAGGATAACTGTAACACTGAGGGTTTCCCGCAAGGCAGCTGTATAAAATATTCAAACCAAGCCATAAAATCCACTCACCAATTTATGCTTCCTCTTCTTCATCTCCTCCTCGGAGCTCATCATCTCCTGAACCTTGACCAGCCTCTTCTGATGCCTGGCAACCTTCTGCTCGTCCCTCAGTCTCTGCTCAGCCTTATTAGCAGCAGCCAGAAGTGCCTCCTTCAGATGGCTGCTCAACTTAAAATGAGGTTTTTCGACAGATCCGCTGGCATTCACCCCCCGCCTCGCATTATCGAAGAAGGGGTGCTCCAGGAGTCTCGAGAAAGTGGGAAGATCCTGTTTCAGCGCTTCAGGGGACAGGATCACCTCTAGAAGATTCTTCAGGTGAACATCACAGTGCGGAAGGTCTGTGCATGTGGCTTCCAGCAGAGGTCTACCGAATGCCATCTCGTACAAAACGTGACCTAGTGCGTAAACGTCTACTTGAGTTGTCGCGTGGAGTTTTCTCCTCTGAACAACGTAGGGTCGGTAGAAAGTGGGCAGGCCGAGGAGTCCATTCTCAATGTCAAGTAATTTAGCACCTGTAATTAACAAGATGAATGCAGAAATTGCAAAAGCAATCCATAAAAACTAATGAAATAAAAAACAAATTTGAAATTGAAATCTTGAAATGTAATCAGCTGATAATTATAAGATTTTGTCGAGAATGAGTAATCGAAAAAAAAGTTTCAGAGGTGTCTCTTGTCGGGAATGTTCTCAGCTAGAGAGGAAATATATATTCTGATTTTCTACTACGATCAGGTGATTGTAGGACGATTGCATAATTATGGAAAATGTCATATTTTTTCTATTTTTTTCTCGATAATTTTTATATTCGAAGATATAACATCGTTTTAGGAAAATCATACATATTGTGGATCATTGCAGCTCTATGTAGTTGAACCTTGACTATAAGCTATATTTTGGGTTCATTATAAATGAAAAGAGGAATGGCTAGGTCAAACATGCAATAAATTCCTTTTTATTCTGGAAAAGAGCTTGCCCAATTCTTTTGTATGTCTTCCCTATTGGAAGAGATAATAATCCTAGAAAAATAAAAATTTTATATTTTTCATTAATGAATTATTTTAAAAAATTGCTGTTAGAGAATTTTACGACGGATCATTATTATCTAAGAATTATCCTCCAAATTTCACATGAATTCCGAATAAAAATGTAAATGTCTTTCATATAATCGTTTCTCATCCATTTTAAAGAGAAATGGCTCCATTAACATATAAAAATTCAATTTCACTGAATTATAGTGTTGAGTGACGAATGTCAAAAAACTTCACATTTCAAAATTGAATACAAAATTATGTAATGCCAATAACTGAAATTTCCTAAAAATTACTAGGTAAATATTTCTAAAACACGTGGTTTAAAAATTCTTCACATAAAGATCTGTTGACAAATTTACCGAGATCATTAATTTATGAGATAAGTATTTTCAAAACGATTTAAAACACTTCCAAATTTGAACGTCAAAAAATTACCCACCTGTTGGAGTAATGAGAATATTTCCAGTGTGCAGATGTCCATAAGGAAGTCCCTTCTCATGTAAATAGCTCAGGGCTTCTAATATTTGATAAGAATACGTCGCTATTTCCGAGGAAGCCAGTGGTTTCGGCTGTTTCGGATTCCCGTATTTCTTGATGAACGGTTGCTTTGGTTTTGTGTTGCACAAAATGTCCCTCAAGGTGCCGTTGGGATGGAAGTTCCTGATCGTGAGGGCTCCTGTGTCTGTCACGTGCTGGTGAACGATTCCCTCGATGTTGGTGTGCTTCAGGGTTCCTAGGCTCTTGAAAACTCCCTGCATGTCCTTGTCCGGGAGATGCTTGTCCGGTCCGAATTCCACCCATGCTAGTAAGAGTTCTTGCTTCGGGTTCTGGCGGTTTTTCACTGTGTAATAGTGTTTTCTCAACCGCCAGCCCATGTCCACAATCGGCTTGCCAATCTCGAAGTTTGCATCGCTGCGGAGGGCTAGGGACACCTGTTGCAGTGCTATCTCTGAAATGAAACATTTAATCATTTATTTCTACTCGTAACAATTCTAGAAACTTCGAGAAAATTCTTCAGTTTCACAGAAAATTCTCCGATTTTCTAAAAAAACTCGAGAAAATTCTCCGGTTTTCTGAAAAATTCGCGAAAATTCTCCGGTTTTTCGGAAAGTTTAAAAAAAAACGTTCGATTTTCTAGAAAATTCGAGAAAATTCTCCGTTTTTACAGAAAATTCCAGAATAGTCTTCGGTTTTCTCGAAAATGTGCGAAAACTCTCGGATTTTCTAGAACTTTCAGATATTTTTTGAAAAATTAAATTTGTGTCAATCCATACAATTGAAAAAATGCTAAGCGGCTGCATCCTTTCACAGCAGTTAGGCTTAACGTCACATGTAAGTAGCAACTGACCCATTAACAACAGAATAACATCATAGACGTGTCCACGTTAAATCTAACTGCTGTATCAAGGATACGGCCGCTTAGAATTTTTTTAAATGTTTATTGAGACCAAGGTTGAACAATTACAGGTACTCAGTCACAGTGGACGGATTATTTCCGTATAATGAACAAAACAAACACCGAACCATTTTTTAATATGTAAGATATTATATCACTGCAGTTACATTGCTCGTAATAATCTTATGACGGTATTTGCGTTATACACTATCTTGTTATAGTACATTACGTAACTAGTGCGGAAAGCAGGCGGTTACTCACGAGGGCGGCACAGCCGCCCGGTTACACGCACGTATCATACAAAATATTCTTTGAGATACCCAACTCATCGCTCGACATTCGGAATCGAGAATTCTGAGTCATAATGACAGGGTACATATGGGGTAGGGTGAACAGGCCAATTGCTGGGCGGTTGAGGGAAATTCGAGTTTCCTGGTAGGATCTAAAATAAAAGTATCACCTAAATGGATTCCATATCTTCAAGAATGTTTTAATTAGCAGAAACAAATTATCTGAAGTCAAGATAACATAACAAAGAATAAATAAACTAACAAATAGTTCAATTTTAATCCTTTTTCTGTGAAATTTATGAAAAAATTTCCAGAATTTTGTACGCACATACGGACGGGACACACAGACATTCGGAAAAAACATCATATCTCGACGTTTCATAAGATTTTAAGTCATTTCCAAGCAAAATCAGATAAAGCGGAAACAAGCGAAAGATTCGACAGCAGAAGATTTGTCTTATAGGCGAATCTAGGGGTATACAAATGTTTTTAAGTAATGTACAAATTCTTCCGTACTTGAAAAACATTTGTACACATGATTATTTGAATTTTCTACCCTTAAATATTCCCTAAATTGGATTTTCCGCTGATGAATATTCTGCTAGTTTCAGCTTCATGAAAATCAGAGAATCGAAAAATCGACCGATTACAAAGCTTCCATTCGGAAGCAAAAAAAATATGGAAAATAATGTGATAAAATTACCGTGCAGTGGTGCCGTATAGTTGTTAGGATCGAGAAAATGTTTCATTGGCAGCGACGATGCCAATATGGGATTCATTAGTACCGTATTTAAATAATTCTGCAGTCCAATTTGTCGTTGAGCTATAAAGTCAGTATCCATATTACCAATGATTCTCTTAGGGGGCAATGGTAACTCAATCCCCGAAATGGATAAAGCTGCATTGAGTTGAACGAATTCATTGTACCGTCTGCTAATGCGCCACGATCTCTCGGGCAGTGGGCCTCGCTGTGTCCTAATCACATACTCCTAGAAAAGGCGAAAAAAAATTCTAAAAACAATTGTCATCAGTTATGGGAGATGCCCTGTAAGTGGTGGTCGTTCAGAATGTTATGGAGATGTTGTTCAACTCATTCACCTGGACAATATTTACATTTGATATTAATTATTCCTATATTTCCTGTCTGTCATTCCGGCCGTTGGGAAGCGCTTCACTGCAGTTATAGCAAAAAATGTCCGTCACACGATCTAAAAAAACCTTTCAAGCTCATACGATTGCAACCCTCGCCTTCGGCTCGGGTTGAAACTCATATTCGCCGGGGATTTTTTTTCGGCCTTATGACGAAATCCACTAAATCTGGGATTAAAGTAGCTCTACCCTTACGGTAAATTCAAAGATTATTGAAAGCTGCAAAAAAATTGCAGAAAACTCGATTAGATTTGGAATTCTAATTTTTTTCTCAATTTAATTATCGTTTTGGTTTTTCAAAAAAGAAATGTTTAAAAATCAGGATTTAACCCAGTGTCTTATGTGAAAATTAACATTCCCATTGTAATCAAAGATTAAAATTTGATTTTTTTTCATTAGATGTGAAAAAATCAAGAATTTTTTGGACACCTCATAAAAAATAAAAAATAATCCACCGTTTTGCAAACAAGTTTCATTATTTATTTATAAGAGGGCAATGTTTACAAAAATATCAATATTTTACGCAATTTAATCTAGATAATACTGACTGGGTATGAATTTATTCAAATTTTTTCCATGCAATTTAGTTGAAAAATTTAAAAACTCAAAATAAAAAAAAATATCCAAATATCCAAAAGTATAGGGTAGCCCGACCGACGGGTAGAACTACTTTAAACGTGTACCGAAATGTCAACGAAGAGGAGATTGAAGAGTTGAAAGGTTGCATAGTGATAATGGTTTTAGTATCTTTAGAACTAAGAAAATGGTTTTGAGGAATGTTTTCTCATGGGCTGCAGGAAATATTAGAAATTTTTTTGCAAAAAGTTTTAGAATCAAGAGGAACAGTCCCAAACAATTAAATATCATTATTGATCCAAGCCTTTCCTGAGGTTTTGAGAACTAAGACATTGATCACGTTTTCTGCCACTGATTAGAACTTAATCAGGAAAGAATTACACTCATCAAAAAGCTGAAGAATTGTAATAATAACTCATCGGAATCGATTCCTCAAACAGATATGTAATACGATAGTTTAAGATATCAGATAACGGCCCGTAAAACCTGGAAGTTGGACGGCCTCAAGAACATAGAACATCTCCCAACAATTCCCCTAACCCTCTTCTCCTCCAATAAATTTACAAATTAATCTCCATGCTTATTCATTTCACTGCATACATATCTGCTTTAAAAAAATCTTCTACTCCAGCATTTTTACAAATACTAAAAAAAACCGTCGGGTTAGAACCAAATATCATGAAAAATTATCTCTACCTCACGAGTCGTCACATAAAAAACTCAATAAATTCTCCTAAACCCCTTTTCTCCAAAGATACTCACTCAAATGACGTGAGTGAGGTACGGGGAGGTTGGGGTAAAATGGACACTTTTGACTTTTTTTAAATGTTAATGACGGCTTGCAATGTTGACAAAATATCATAATTTTTTTTTCATTGCAAAGAACAATTCTTTTCCTTTGTGATGAGCCTGAACTGAGCTCAATTGATAAATTTATTTCTGAGTTATGAGTAATTAAAAGAAAAGTCTAAAGTGTCCATTTTACCCCACTCGCCCCTATTTTACATCATCTCTCCAAGAGCACCTACAGGTTGATTTCGCGAATGCATCCAAAATACGGAGATGCAGTGAGTAATGTCAAAATGTCAAATGTCAAATGTCAAAAGTGTTACTCCAACATCCCAACATTCTCCATAACATCCTCACATCATAAAAATAAAAAATATTGAGTAGAAAATTACCGTGTGACCGTTAATAGTCCTAGCATTTTCGATGACACTTGTCAACTTCTCTGTATCATCTAGCAACACTTTATTCGTATATTTTTTCTCGAATAAAGCCATTGATCATCAGTAATATGGGGAGCAGAGCCCGTGATGGGCGTACTGCGTTTTTCTACCGCGTAGTTTCCCAGCGGCGCCATAAATGACGCGACGAAGATTCATCTCAGCATTGATTTATCAATTCACTCTTATCTAATTCACTTTCAATTCACCAACACTTTTAGATTAATTATTACGGGTTAGAAGTTTGTGGGAGAATTTTTCGGTGGCGATAGCCAGAGGTGACTGTCGTCCTTGACGTCTACGGGTATTCATTCGCCATTTTGTCACGTTGCCATGTTTTTCCGTGTCAGCAGTATCAGGCACTGGGTAGAGGTGATAAGTCTCGGATCTTTAACATTATTCAGCGATTCAGATGAATTTCGGTGGGTTTTAAGCGAATTAGAGGGGAGACTGTGAGCGGAATGCCACTTGCCAGGGATTTTCAAAACACTGAGACAACTAGGGCGATCGATTTGTGGAGTTTTGGTTTGTTGTTGGCATTGGGTTCATTCGGATTCTTGAAGATAGAGGCGCTTTGGGCTTTTCAATGGATAAGTTTGTTACGAGTCCAAACAAATGATTTTTCATTGCTCAAGCCCAAAAAGGGCTCTTTTACCGACGGTAGTTAAGCATGAGAAGTAGGTCTTTTTACCGTTGAGCAGTATAAAAGTGAGAAATGCACTACTTAGGAGTGAAAAAGTGAGAATTGCACTCCTTAGGACTGAAAAACGTGTGGCGCCACCCCAGCGTTAATGTACCAAAATATAAAACTACATATAAAAACTGATAAATTCAGCCAGTGAATCCCCTTCATTATCTTCAAAATTGTTAAATTTTAAATTTGAAAATACACCTGAAAATTAAAATGAAAAATAAATTATTAAAAAATTAATAATTTATTAATTAAATGAAATTGAAAAATATTTTCTGAATTTTTTAATCAATTAGTTGTTAAATTTCACAAACTACTTATTGAAATTCAACAACTAATTAATTAAAATTCAGAAAAGATTTTGAATTTCACCAGCTACTTATTGATATTCAAGAAGTAGTTGGTAATTTATTTTTTTAACAATTAGTTGATGAATTTCAACTACTTTGTGAAATTCACCAAATAATTTTCTCCGTGTGCTCGTCCTCAACCAGTGTCCACGTGTTAGGATGTAGCGAGACGCTACAGTATAAGTTTTGAGACACCCTGTATCTGTAGAACAATAATTACAAAACGCCTTTCAAAATATTTATTTATTCTGTACTTGCTCGTTTTAGTCCTCCTTTATTGCAGAAAAAAATCAGACGAGATTCCGCCGAAATGATAAATATTCTCTGGCAACGCCTGCAATTCCCTCCCCCCGCCCTTTCACGCAACGCCGGTCTACAATTGCTGTGGTGTTTCGGAAGAAAATGCCATCATTCGACCGGTGGTCACACTCGTCGAGACATCCAAGTACTCGCGTCCCCAGCCTAGCAGAAATCCGAACGCCGGATAAAAACTAAAATCGATTTTTCAATTCTTAAATATCCCCTAAAAGCATAAATAATTAGAGAAATCAATCGGTCAATCAATTAACAGTTGAAATCGAGTAGAGTCGGTCGGGTTCGTCCATAACCTACGTTTCACACATTGGAGAACTTTCTTTGTTCATCACAAGAAAAACCAGAGAATCAAGGCTGTGTGGATAGCCGCATAAGTTAAAACACGATTTACAAATAACTAGAACTGTTATCGAAAGATTATTATCTACATTTTGGATTCCTTTGACTCCGTATTCTATTTATTCATTTCTATTGATCAATAAAATCGAAGGAGCTGATTATTTTATTGGTGAGTGTTGGAAAATGGAGACCAACGGGGTTCATGGCTGCATGCATTATAGGAGGAAATCGAAATTTGTGGTGAGTTTCCGTTGAGAATTGAGGGATTTTTTGGGTTTCGGGAGGATGTTGTTGTTAGCCAGTGGGTTGAATAAAAAGTAATCATCAAGTTCGATGATTTTTGGCTATAAAATCATCAAAGAGAATATTGGAAATGTGAGGTGAAATTGATTTTCCTTAATAATCAATATCTTCCGACTAAATAATGCGATTGGGGTGTGGCAGGTCTCATTTCAAAGTCTGAAAAAATATTATCGGCACGTATATCGATAGACTTTTTTTTATTTAAATTTTTGCTTATGTAAATTTTTGTTTCCTATCGGAATTGTTGGTTTACAAGCTGAATATACAATTAACAGAGAACTCACACAGAGAACATCATACCAAAAATGGTCACAAAAATTAAAAAAAAAATTAGTTGTGTAGAATTGATGTAAGAAACTGTTCAGGGCGTTCACGAGAAAATTAAAAAGCAAACAAAATGCGTTCTTATAGGTAAATTATTGAAAAAAAATTTAGCTCCGTAAAAAAATAGCAAGAAAAATCGGTTACTTAGCTGACAAAATGGGGAAAAATATGCTGTGTTTTGGGTAATTAATTGCGATCATCAGCACTCTCATTTTTTTGTAATTTAATTATTCTGAAGAAATGCCAAGAGAACAGCGTCCCTAAATGTTGTTGGATTCCCCTAGTTGCCTGACTTTTTCGAACACACTGTACGGGGAATCCCAATTGAGGTCATTTTTTAAAACGGAAACAGATGGCAGTAGGGGGCCACCTTACCATTGGCAGATCCGATCCGATAAAATTTTTTGGAAATAATGAAATAGGGGGGATAACGCCTTTTTTTCAGGGGTGATTTTTCAAAAATTTATTTTAAAAAAAGTCAATGAGGAAAAAAATAAAAATTTGGATTATCTATACATGGGGGGCTAGTTGATCGGATCTCCATTGGCCATTTGTAACATGCATGGCAACATCGCGTTGTAGTTTTAATGTCGGATACTGAGATAACTGCTATATTGACTGAAATTGAGCGGTATAATTTGAAAATTTTGTTAATCCTTCAAGTACGGCGTCCATGCCACATACACTGAGAAAAATTAGTTATTTTCATCACAAGATCTACAAAGTATTTTCTGACGAATGTGGCTATTGCGTATTGAACAGCGAATTAGAGTAGACGGATTCTCAACCGATAAACGATTCAAATAAATCCAGTAATGATCAATAATTTTAATCGAAAATTAATGCCAAATGCATTGTTTTGCAGGCACCCTGCTGCAAAAAAGTGTATACATGCAGGTTGTGTCATGATGAAAAAGAAACTCACACTTTGAATCGCACAGCGATTACTGAGGTAATCTGCGTAATTTGTGACAGGCGTCAGCCTATCCGCGCTGATTGCCGCTATTGCTACGCTCGATTTGGCTGGTACACTTGCCTGAAGTGTAATTTTTTCGAAGATGAGGATAGAGGGCAGTTTCACTGCGATGGATGTGGAATCTGCAGGGTCGGGGGTTGGAGCCTATTTTTCCACTGCGCCAAGTGCAACTTGTGCCTTCCCCGTCAAATACAAGAAATTCACAAGGTGAGCAATCGATTATTTTGGATTCTCTTTATGTAAATCCTTATTTGATTATTCTCTTCTTCTCTTCTCACTTACGCGCTCGTATCGAAATATGCTATAATCGTATTCAACTCTAGCTTCCGTTGAGACATTCACGTATATTCCTAGAAGCCTGGTGATTCTAAATTGAAATATTTGGAAAAATTGTCGTTATTAACTTCCTGGAGAAAATGAAAGCCGAAAATTTCTGTTTAGATTATTATAAAATTTTCTTCAAAAGGAAGTTCCGAAGATATTTGCGAGATTATATGCATGAAACATGGATTATTGGATTCTTGGCACTTTGACTGTTCGCAGCAATGGTTTAATATTTTTTCAAATTAGATGCAATATTTCAAACACTTGTTATCATTTTGCAGCGTTCGCAATAATTTCATAATCCAAATCAATAGAGTGTCAATGAAGATACTTTTTTCCAATGATCTGTAAGTGATTGAAAATTCAAAAGTTGTTTGCAGTATTCAACTCGATTTGGTGAGATTATCAACTTTCTTATTCAGCAAAGCAAGTCGTGAGAAATTCCATAAAAACACCTGAATGTAGGAGTTATCAATGAATTAATCATTAGAGAAAAACATTGTATGTTACATGTACTGACTGATTGATTCAATATTTTGTTACAGTGCGTGGAAAATGTCTCCCATGACAATTGTCCAGTGTGTCTTGAAGACTTGCACACAAGTCGTTCACCATGTCACATCCCTAGCTGTGGACATTTGCTTCATCGTCCCTGTTACGACAAGCTCATCGCATCCGGGATGACAGCCTGTCCTATATGTCAAGAGACATTGGATGATGTGACTAAAAAAGTCGATAATTTTGGACGATTGAAATGCTAAGATGAATTATTCCCACAGAAAAGGATAAGTGTAGATTAAACCTGGCTTCTTTTAGGGTGTTTTACACTTTCTCATCTGGCAGATAAAATAGTCTACTTTTTGGTGGATGCACACTGCAAAAGGATAGATCATCCCCAGACAAGGTTAAAATCATACTTTTTATAATTTGAGATCGGTACAAAATTAATGCAGAATCTTCTAGGCAATTGTATAACAAGCTTTTTAATTTTCAAATCATTAATAATGCATTCTACCAGATCCTAAAAAATTCTAGAGCCTTCTAGACATTTGTAGAAGCTTTTCGATTAATTCTATAGTTTAAAAAGCCAATATTTTTGAATATCCTGTGATTTATCGTGAAAAAGTCTATTTCCAAATTTAAAAAATTGACTGTAAAATGAGGCCGTCCAAAAGCATTCTAATAACCCTAATAATACGGGTCAATTCCCACAGTAATTATAAATCAATCCAACATATGGTTATTTTATCTCTCAGCATTTGTTTGCCTTATTGAGCACAAAACCGGTCGGTTTATACAGCTAATTATCTCCGCTAATTGTCTGACAAGCTCTTCAATTTTCATACATTCTAATAACTCATTCTACCATATTGCAAAAAATTCTACAGCCTCCTCGACATTTGCAGAAGCTTCTCGACTAATTCCATAGCTTACAAAGCCAATATTTTAGAAGATTCTAGCATTTATCGTGCAAAAGTCTATTTCAGTATTTTTTAAATTTGTCTGTCATGAGGCGAAACAAAAACATCCTGATACCTCTAATAATACGGGATAATTAGGGTTATTTCATCTTGAAACATTTTTCTTATACCGCTATTATCTCCAAAATGGAATACCCTTGAGAAGAGATGAAATATACTAGGCAAGGTTTAATCTACACTTATCGTTTTTTGCGCGTTGAGTTAATTTCGATGAATGCTCAGCAATTTTTCTATTATACTTTTCCAAATGATTGGAAGAAATTCATGTTTATTGATCGCTGTTTTATTCGTATATCAACGAATTTATAACAGTGAGTCAATTGAGGTATTAGATACTCGAATTTCGCCATTTCTCAGTGTTATATTATGCAGCGAGAATATGAAAATCCAGGAGATTTTCGAATACTTCAATGCAAATTCAATTATTAATTGCATCATGCAAATATCATACAGAATATTTTATTACTAATTATAAATAAATAAAATATTCGAGTGTTTTATCGTACATCAAGTAGGGTGAATTATGCAGTGAACAATATAACAGAATATTTCATGGAACCCTATTAAATTGATGCACAATTTTTTTTTTAAGGCGTAAAACGTTATATTGAATTGGATCAATAATTTATAGGGTTTGAAAACTTGATGATGCCCTATATGACAAGATAACAGACTCCCTTGCATGTATTGAATATTAGAGTGGCTCTCCTGCTCATAATTATTACTTTGTTAAAAACAAACTACTTCAGTCACTTCATCACTAGATTATACAGTGAAGTTTTTCTGTCCTTAAAAATCAACAATTAAGGAACAAGAGCAATTCAAAAGGCCACACAGACACAAGGGATCTGTTACCTTTCACGTGGTTTCATCTGTGAAAAAGAATGATGACATTTACTTAAAATTCCTAAAAAGCGTTCGTTGTAGTTGTTAGACGGTTTATAATTGTTTCTGCGTTACTGATCTTTTTTTATTTTTATTTTATATTCACTTTTTCTATTATGGAAATGAAGATCTTTTTCAGTTGGCATAGAACTATATTAGCAACATAGATGGTAACGCAGTTTTGTGTTCTAATAAAGATTTGTGAGATTGTGGAGTGGAGTTTATGGAATTTCCGTAATAGCACAAGTATAAGAAGTGTCTTTAATTTTTTATAATTTAGATAAATTCACACAATCTTAATATCATTATTAACATTCTATTTAAATTCACAATTAATGTCATCATTCACCTTTCTCAAACGGATTATCTTAAGCATGTTATATAATATAGAACAATATATTACAATCTAATTTCCTCCAAAATTAAAATTCGATCATATCTCGCGTTTTTGTGTGCCAAAAACTTTGGCCAAATTTGGTGGGGAAACCCCAAGGGCAACCTCAGGGCAGCCTCAGGGGCAAGTTTTTTAAAACTAGATTTATATAACATTAACAAATGAGCTGAGACAGTTTAAAGTAATTTTTTTTTATGTGAAAATCGAATTTCCCCATGAGAGGCCTTCATTTTCAAATACATCTATAATCTAGTTTTATATTTAATCTGTAGTTGTATGGATTCAAGAAGTGAAGACTTCAAGCCTCATTTTTTTTTATTTTCTTTATATTTTCAGCATTTCATTATACTATTTTCGCCGAAGCTCTTTATTTTCAAATGAAAATATCTTTTTTTTTGTTCATTAGAATTACGGCGATGTTGCTAATGAGATTGAGAAGTTTCCATCTATTTTTATGTACTTCAATACAATGAAAATCAAACGGAAGAAAATGCATTGTTGAATTGTAGTTTTTATGAAATATTCCTTATTATCATTAGTTTTTTCTACAAGTTGAAAAATATCTCATTGGTAGAATATTTATTTAGTCAACGGATAAAAAGAAGAGAAGTTCTTTGTGGATTATCTTGCAATAGGGGACTTGCATGAAGCTCAATTCTTTCTAATTCCCCTATTCACACATTCCTCGTAACATATGGATAGCTAAATGGAGAAAATTATAGAGAATATTGCCTAGATGTCTTATGATAATCGGTTAAAAATCCGTCGTTTTCGAGGCCATTTTTTCTGTCGCGACGTCACGAAGACGGTCAGATAATGCTTCATTGGTCGAAAAAGAAGAGAGTGAGGAGTTGTCCTCCATTGGCTGAGACGCCCCTTAAGATTGGGTTAGGTCGGTTGGAGCTATTGTGTGATTGGTCCAGCTCTCGACCGTTTATGTGACGTCATTAGCGATGTCAAAGCTTTTGAAATCTTCAACTTTAAACAACTGATTATTAACTAATGAGCAATATTTCAAACGTTTGGGAATGAAAAATGAATTATTCAGGTCCCAAACTTGAGATTAGAAAATTGAAAAAAATATATATTGAGAAAAGTGAAGATTTTTTTGGCACATCGCCCCGCTTTTATGAGTGAACGAAAAAAATTATCCTTAGCTAGAGATATATTTTACTCTATCCGGCTGCGGTCGAAATAGATGAGAGACCTTCACTCTGTTGAAAAATGATACAAATTGTAATGCAACTTTGCGAGCTGCTTTGACAGCTAATCCTTGTCTTTGGGAAAAAAGTTTATAGCGGTTTGCCTGTCAGATCAACTCACAGGTTTGCGTACTGACGCCGCGAGACGAGAGGAGACAAGAAATAGCATTTTCTCGCCTCGACGATCGTAGCTGGTTCTCTCATCTCGTCTTGTCTCGACATACGAGAGATATTTCTTCCTCTTCTCTCGTCGAGAGTCGAAAGATTCTCTCGCAGTCTATCGTCTCAACTCGTCTTACCTCGTTTCGTCGCACATGAAAAAAAAAAAGTCAGGAAAAATGAAAGGCAGAAAAAATAAGAGTAAAAAAAATAAGGGTCATAGAATATATGAGGTATTCCACGTTAAATGAGTCAATCGCTGACCCTCACCCTCTTGGAAATTAATGGCGATTTTTTCTATGATTCATGGCATTCTAAATTGTTTCCAAGTAAAATTACAGGATCACAATATTCATCCATTGCAAAGCTCCCATTCGGAAGAAAAAATACATTCATGAATGAGAGTTGATGGAATAATAAAGAACTTTGTTTACATTTAAATGCATTCATGAATGAGAGTGATAGAATAATGAAGAACTTTGTTTAAATCTAAATGTGCGATCGAGCACGTTAGTGCTCGATCAGTCAAAAAACTTTCATGACTACAAAAAAAAAGTCATGATGTAATAGTTGCAATACTCAGTGTTATATCCACATGCAATTTTTGTTGATCCCCCAATCGCCAAATCCCCTCTAAATGCTCATCACATTCTGGGGACTCGGACATTCAGACCAGATCGAATTGAAGATGTCAAACACCACTTTCAATGTGTTTATATACATTTGACCTCAACAGTTGCCTTGCGGAAAGAATACGTCTTCTACCGATAAATATTGTGTACTAAATTCAAATACCTTGCTTGCGACTTCATTATATTCTGTAAAGAATAATTGTGATCATCAAGGAAATATAATTTTTATGAACAAAAAAAACGGCAGGTTGAAGCGAAAAAGCGGGTTCAAACAAAATTTATGAAATTAAAAATTCACTTATTCATGGTCTATTGAGAATAAAGTAAAATGGATGCTTAACTTTATTGTTTGGAGTGTAACGAATACTTTTAAAAAATGCTTCGAAGCTAGTCAACCGATTTCAATTTTTTTTTCTCAAAATATTCGTTTCGATGCCTTCTATCCGAATCAATCAAAACATATATCCGTTCATACAAAGTTTTCGAGATATTTCCGTTTTTCTGTTTTTTCATAAAAATCCTTGTAATCGCTTCAGCTTGTGCAAAAATTGAGATATCAACTTGAAATTTGGACAGAATCTTCCTCTCATGATAACAATACTTCCTATTGAAAATGAGCTGAATCGCACAGGTAGTTTCCGAGATATTCGACTTTCTCTGAAAACTATGTGCAATAGCTTAAAAACTACGCAACCGATTTCAATTTTTTTTTCAAAATATTTGTTTCGCGGCCTTCTATCCGAATGCCTTCTATCCCATTCGGAAGCTTACTACCAATGGAATTGGTAAAAATGAAAGAAAAAGAGTTATTACACATAAATTAGTATTGCTGAACTCTTCCACCATCCCATTAATTATTCCTCTTATTACACATAAAGTAACGGTCAGATGACTTCGGCCAAAAAGGCTCGAAACCCTCTGCTTGTTTCTAAAATTTTTCGGAAATTCACAAAACTTTAAAATAAATGCAGGAAAATGATTGCACTACCATAAAACTTCGTGAGTCAGTCAATAATGATAAAACACAAAGACGGTATATTATTTCGCGTCAATCCGATTAATAATTTGCCAGAAAAATGAAAAAAACGTGAATTTTGACCGAAAAGGTGCAGTACATCCTTAAGAGGTAACAGAATGCTCTTTATGTCGCGCCGTGCAATAAGTCGAGTTTATCGCACGCTGCGCTTCGCGCAGCCGGGAAGGGTGAGGTAAAATGGACACTTTAGACTTTTTTAAAATTATTCATAACTCAGAAACAAATTTATCAATTGAGTTCAGTTTAGACTCGTTACAAAGGGAAAGACCAGGTCTTTGTATTAAAAAATATATAGGGGAGGTGGGGGTAAAACGTACACTGGACTTTTTTTTTTAATGTTAATGGGAGTTGAAATGTTAATAAAATTTAATAATTTTTTTTTTCAATACCAAGAACAATTCTTTCCCTTTGTGACGAGCCTAAACTTAGCTCAATTGATCAATATGTTTCTGAGTTATGAATAATTTTTAAAAAGTCCAAAGTGTCCGTTTTACCCCACCCTCCCCTATTAAATATTATCAACATTTCCACCCCTCATTAACATTTTAAAAAAAGTCAAAAGTGTCCACTTTACCTCTATGTAAATTCCGTAAAAAAGTGCGAAACTCTTGGGGAATTAACATGGGAAAAAGTTTCCGAAAATCTAATGACTCTCAGGATGAAAAGGTCTATAGAATAAAATGGAATCAAATTCTCCCGCCCAACCGGATGTGCACAATCCCCTCGCCCCCACCCGCAGATATCCGTCGTCCATCGCAGTTTGTATCCATCCTCCAAAGTGAAACGACGTATTCCCCCTTGAATCGGTTATGTGGCCTCGTGAAACAGTATCGTGAGCGTCGTTGAGGTCGAGTTAAACCAAGTTAAACCAGAGACGTGTGTGTCACTCGATCCCGAAGAGCGGGATATTCCATTCACCCCGACATTCCCAATTGAAAGCATTCCCGGGCCTCCCCCGAATTGACAAATCCTCCCTCGCATCGTCTGAAATGCCCCCCCGGATTGATCCCCAGGTGTGCGATCCCCGTATCTCCAGAGTACACGAGTCAATAAAATGACATCATTGAATCGGTCTCACTGTCGCCCAGACGACGAGATACCCTCGTCCCCAGCTTAATCACACAACCTCGAACTTCAAATAAAAATTAAAATCAATTCGCTGACCCTCCAAAATCTCCCGAATAACATAAATAAATCAATCCATCAGTCAATTGATGAAAAATAAAAGATAATTAGAGTGAAGAGTCGACTTAACTCGTGCATAACCTATGTTTCGCACATCTGGAGAATTTTTTTTTCTCACAAGAAGAAAAAGAGAATCGAGATTGTGTTAATTAAACGTACAAATTGACAGTGTTTACGAAGGAACTAGAACTATCCGAGAAAGGTTATCGTTTGCTATTTGGAGTTTTGTGACTGCGCACTTTGTTTATTTATTGTCATTGATAAATAAAATTAGTACTGAGGATTATTCTATTGGTGAGTGCTAGAGGATGGAGAAGGGAGAGGAGCAGACAGCCAGTGACGTCGATATTGACGATCAGGGTGAACTGAAGAAGAATGACGATGATGAGGGTGATGGCACTGACGAGCATTACGGATGCACACATTATAAGAGGAAATCGAAATTTGTGGTGAGTTTTTTCCAGGGATTTGTTGGGGTTGGAGTGACTTGTTATTGTTCCTCTCCGCCCCTTTGGGGGAGCTCGCCAATGGCGGGAGCGATCGATCGGAGGAGTGTTTGTGTATTATGTGGGAGAAAACGTGAAACCAAGTTGATGGTCAACTCTGAGGATTTTTTTGAGTATAAAATGGGTTTCATGATTTCAATTCTTCGTTTATGATGGTTGGTTTCCTGTTTTTTTCTTGCTCTGTTGAATGCTTTTCGAGGATAGCCTTTGATAGCTGAATATTTATTTGAGTAATGATGAATGATAATTGAGGAGTAGTCAGCGATCGAGTGGTGGAACGTAATAGGACAGCATAGAATAGAATAGAAATGAACTGAACAGAGCAGGACAGGTTCATTTATGACTTAATTTCAGATTTATTTGAATGAAGGTCCCAGTGGAATTTGTCAAGAGAATTTTTTTTTATATTTTGATAGCTACAAAGATGCTCCCTCGCATTTTTACTTTGAGGGATGTCTTTTTGAGAAATTCCAAAAATAAAAAATCGGATTCTTGTCGAAGAAGAAGTCTCCAATCATGTAGTTCCTCTTGAATTAGATAATTAGGTAATGTTTCGATAATGAGTGGTTTGAAGGAAGATATCATGGGACATTTTTTGTCCGAAATTTTTGTCAGCTACAAAAAAGGCCCTCTAATATCTCCTTTACTCACTCATTTTTGAAATATTACGTAATTATCAAAGCTGGCTCTTAAAAAAAAATTGATTCGTTTAAACCCTCGTTATCTGGGTAATTATCTCGGCGATAAGTGGCTTTGAGTGAAAATGTCGAAATGCTTAATGTGAGAAATTTTCATAGCCTGAAATAAAAGTCTGTTGACATTCCCTAAAGTAGTCTTAAAGTAATTTATTCTCGAATTATTTCATCATTAAAACAAATAAAGTAGTCCTAAACTAATTTATTCTGGCATTATTTCATAATTAAAAAAAAAATCCTGTTTGAAAATCTTTCGTCGATCATTCCCCCGCCCAACTCCCCTATTTACGAAGCAATTATTTCAATAATCGATGATTGAAGGAGTATGTCAACAGACGGTTCTTGTTATAAATCTCCTCAACTGACGATTCCCTTTGAACCCCTTGCTTCCAAGAAGAATGCACAATTAAAAAATAATTAAATGACATTTAGGTACGTTTTATTTCTTCACTGTTGATTGGAATTGATAATTCTAATGGAGAAAAGATAATGTGGTGAATGATTCATCCACCGATTAGCGACCCAAATCAATCTAATAATAATTAACAATTTGAATTGATAATTAATTCTGAATAAATTTGTTTGCAGACACCCTGTTGTAACAAAGTATACACGTGCAGGTTTTGTCATGATGAGCAAGAGACGCACACTGTGAATCGTAAAGAGGTAACTGAGTTAATTTGTGTACTCTGTGACACACGTCAGCCTGTCCAAGCCACTTGTCAAAATTGCCATTGTCGATTTGGCAAATACACTTGCCTAGAGTGTAATTTATTCGACGATGAGGATAAGAATCAGTATCACTGCGATGGATGTGGAATTTGTAGGGTCGGGGGTAAGGACAGATTTTTCCACTGCGCCAAGTGCAACATGTGCCTGCCGGTTCAGCTACAAAATGGTCACAAGGTGAGCAGAATCGATTATTTTGTAATTGAATTATTCATTCGGAGTTCGGAACGGGTTTGCCGATTATTATGTGGATATCATTGGAGGAAAGGGGGCTAGAGGAATTTGTCAAAAGATACTTTTTGGAGGCAGTTTTGTGGGGTGCAAAAAATATCTTCTGCAATTTTTCTGTAAATCCAGTCGTTTCTGAGATGTTTGCGAAAATAATCTGCGTCGAATTTCATGTAAAGAGAAAAGAGTAGCTCCGGGTAGACAATCTTGCACTTATCTTGAGGTGGAAGAGGTTCAGAGGGATTTATCAAAAGAGAGTGTTTAGAAAGAGCTTCATGGAGTATAAAAAAATCGATTGAGATACAAGAGCAATGCTAATTTTATGTGGCAATTGTTTTCGGAAAAAGTTGAGGGAAATTAATCAAGCGACTTTTTGCAGGAAATTCTGTGGTCTACAAAGAAGCTCTCCCAATGTTTTTCTGTAAACTTAGTAATATTTGAGATGTTTTGTGAAAATTTTCATATGAAATTTCTGAGGAAAGTTGAAAAATCGTTTTGAATTGTTCCAGAATTCTCTCCACAGACCGGAGTTCAGAGGAATTTACAGAAAAACACTTTCTGTAGGAAATTTTATGAATTTCAAAAAGAGTTTCTTGACCTTTCCCTGACGGATTTTCTATTAAGGATAATCGAGCGAGGATATACAAAGAATGCAGCCAATTTTATGAAGATTTTTTCACACATTATTGAATCTATTTAGACACTGTTTGCAAAATTTAAGAAACCCCAGAAACAGGACAACAGCAAAAGTGATTTTTAAAGTTGCTGCTTATACGTGAGGTTAAAGGAAGCATTGATAATTCATGCATTTTCTTTACATTAGCGGCTAGTCGGCAATGTGAAAAAAATAGTAAAATTATCGATGATCCATTTAACTTCATGTATAAGCAGCAACATTAAAAATAATTTTTGTGGTTGTCATGCTTCTGAGGTTGCCCAAATGTTGTAAATGATGTCTAAATGGATTCAATAATGTCTGAAAAAATCTGCATAAAAATTGAGCTGCATTTGTTGAATATCCTGCTCCTCGCCCAATTATTCTGAAAGGCATTTGCAAGATAATATGTATTAAATTTCAATTATTGGAGTCAATGATTTTGGACTTTTCGAAAAAAACGCTTTGATTTTTGGATCAGTGACTAAATCTTTTGAAAAATGACATGAAAAACTTAACTTATTTACTACACACTTGCAATTTTCCCAACAATTTTCCTGTCTAAGCGAACAGCGTCGTAGGGGGATCACTATTTTACAAAAATCTGAAAATAATGGAAAATTTGAATAAAATTCATAAAAGTCAGTCCACTTATTATCGTACGAATTCTATAACAAAATTTTTTACAATCAATCATCAATAAAAAACTAATTTCAATTATATATTTTATTATATATTATATATTATATTATATTTCCATTATATTCTCTTCCTCCCACATCATTAAAAATTGTGGAGAATCCAATAAAAAAGACGTGAATGTAGAATTTGTTACTGAATCACTTGTCTGAAAAAAACAATGTAGTTCACCGATTTATCTCGGATTCAGCCATAAAAAAATTTCTGTAGAAATTCAACAATCCTACAATCTACCCACCAATAGTTACAGTATTATCCTCACATATGCATCAATTTGTCGGATAATTATCACAGAGAAAAGCCATATCGAGCGAACGAAGCCAATTACAATTTATGGTAATTCAAAGTGGAAATGACACGTTTATTACGCATAATTGATGAGTATTGGAAAGCTGGGGAAATTTCCAAAGGTGTTTCACCTACTTCATGACGGGAATGTCAAAAAACTAGTGATTTTTTGTTTGGCATTGAGGTGAAAGGAAAATATTACAAATCCCATAAATCGGCACGACTTGATCGAACCAATTACCCAGACAAATTGACACCTTGACTGATTGACTCGATATTTTGTTGCAGTGCGTGGAAAATGTGTCCCATGCCAATTGCCCTGTGTGTCTAGAGGACATTCACACGAGTCGTATACCCTGTCACATTCCCGACTGCGGGCATTTGCTTCATCGTACCTGTTTCGAGGAGCTACTACATTCCGGGCATTATGCCTGCCCCACCTGTCAAGTATCATTACTCGATATGACTGATTTATGGAGATTTCTGGATGATGAAGTAACACTCACACCAATGCCACCAGAGTACAAGGATTATAAAGCTGATATTTTGTGCAAGGATTGCCATGAAGTAATTTAAAGACTATTAATTTCTTTTTATTGTTATTTCAACATCTTTGTTTATTGATTTAAAAGCATTGAATATTAATGATTGCCTTTTTTATCAGGAATCTACTGTTAAATTTCATGTGGTTGGTCTCAAGTGTCTCAACTGTGGTAGCTACAATACGTGTAGAATCAAAGGCTCACCATGTCCTGGTAATTAAATTGATAATTGATTTATGAACATTTGGATTTGTCGTGGGTGATGCATTTACCGAGAAAAAAGTTTCGGGTTTTGGGAAAGAAAATAATGATTTCAAGAATTTTAATTTTAGAAAAACAAGCAGGCGTTCGAGCTTATCCGACAGAACGCATGTGACTGAAATTTTTTGCATTAATTTACAATTTTCCACAAAAATAGTCTGTATAAAAATCCAAATCGACTTCCGGTGATAAAAATTCGGTGCTCGAAATTAAGCCTTCAAAATTAGGGAGTACAAGGGTCAAAATAAAGGTCATGAGGGTCAAAATCGGGGTCTCAAAGGTCAATATAAGGGCCACGAGGGATATAATAAAAGTCAGATTAAGGATCCCAATGAGGGTCACAGATTAAGGATCCAAATAAGGGTCATGGGGTCAGAAACTAAGAGTCATAAGGGTCTCAATCTCTCAATATATCTCTCTATATTATAGAAATCCAAATCGACTTCTGGTGATGAAAATTTAGGTCTCACAAGTCAGATTAAGGATCCCAATAAGGGTAACAAGGGTCAGATTGAGGGTCAAAGTAAGGGTCCAAATAAGGGCAGCAAGGGTCAGAGTAAGGGTCCAAATAAGGGTAACAAGGGTTAGATTGAGTGTCAAAATAAGGGTCGCGAGGGGTATAATGAGGGTCAAATTAACGGTCACAAGGGCCAGAATAAGGATCGTTACGGTCATATGAAGCGAGCAGGGAGCGTAGCACCCTAGTATTTTTATAATATCGCTTAATCCTGACATACTATATCTGCAAAATAATCCCTTAATGTATCTCGGGCTCACCCCATGAATCACAACTTCATCATCGATTTCATGAATATTTCCCTCAACTAATCATCTTCGCCAATAAATTAATTGGGAATAAATCCTTGTTATGTAGATCCGGATGCACCAGACGGAGCAGCAGGCGGTAGTGGAGCTGGAGATCAAGAACAATCCCAAGAGCACGGATCTCAGTAGATTTACGTAACATTTTGATCCCCCCCACAATGCAAAAGTGATGGCAATTACCGAGAGCTTGGTGCTGAATTTGAAAAACGAGATACTGAGGAAGAGACAAACATGGAGAAGAGAATTCGTTATCAGGGATCGACTTTTAGCAAATTTTTTAATTCATTTTTCTGCTCCGGAAGATGTTGCAAGCCTTGTAATAACGTTAATCCGTTGGTGACGACGTGCAACATCGGTCTGTGGGCAATGTCTTTGTTATTTTTTGTTCTTCATATTTTATAGAAATATTACGATTGACGAATCGAAAACGAAAATCATTGTTTATGAGTATGTTTTGAAGTGTTGTTCGGCTCAAATAGTTGAATTCCTGTCGTACTGATAATATTTACTTCATTCCAAGAGAGAAAAAGAAGAGAAAGCGAGAATAAGCATGGGATCAATCAGAGAAACGATTCACTTACGCAGACATCTTATTAAGGATGTTTATGCATTTTTCGCAAAACTCATTTTCCCATGTTCGAGGAAAATTCTGTAATTTTTTATAATAACTGATTCACATATGAAGCTAAGATTTTTAAAAAACAAAAAAATTAATTGCAGTAGTTTTGACTAGAGTAAAGAAACAGATTTCTTCGTATACACGAACTCTGATGGGATTTATTTTGGAAATTGATGATTCACCTGCCAAAAGACTCCAAACATGAAAAATAACAAGCAGGGGACAGCGCGCTATGTGACAGTGAGCATGTCACTGAGTGATGTCTTGTTTTTTTTCGCCATCAATACATTGATGGCGGGCTTCCGAATGGTCTGAAATTACCAAAGTTTATAGGTTCACAACAATAACTAACAGCAATAATTTCAGATGGTTACTGCCCCCTCGATGTGTGCTATCAAAATTCCGGTGTTTCGAATACTTCGTATGAGCAGGAATACATGTTTTGATTGATTTATATAGAAGACCTCGAATCGAATGTTTTGAAAAAAGAAAAAGTGAAATCGGTTGCATAGTTTTGAAGATATTCCATGTAAAAATTTTCAGAAAAAGTTGAATATCTCTGAAACTACTGATGCGATTAAACCCATCTTCAATTCGAAACATTGTTATCATGAGCGAAAGATTATGTTCAAAATTTCAAGTGAAATATCTTGATTTTTGCACAAGCTAGAGTGTTGACAAAGTCTTTTATGAAAGACGGGAATATCTCGAAAACATTGTATGAACGGGTATATATGTTTTGATTATTGCAAATAGAATGCATCAAAACGAATATTTTGAAAACAAAAAAATCGAAATCGGTCCACTAGTTTTCAAGAAATTTGCGGGAAACCATTTAAAAACGAATCGTTTTTTCTCCGAAAATATTAGGTCGATCGGGCTGAAATTTTGCACAGAGTTAGTCCTTATTAAGTCCTATAATCTGACAAAATTTCAGATTTTTTTGAATTACTTTAGCCAATTAATTACTCAATTTTCTAAAAATTGACCACTGGAAAGGTGGCGGTGGACATAGTCACATACAGGCATGGTCGCCAAACTTCATATTTTTGCGTTTCAGACCATTCTACATCATTTCCAATGAAAATTAGAGAATGTGAAAATCGAAGGATTGCAATGCTTCCCTTCGGAAGCAAAAATAGAGCGCCGTGTGAAAATGTACTGAACTCAATGGCTAAGAAGAAATCCAGGCAAATAATGCAGATATTTAAACCTCTAAGCCCCATATAAACTCATGCTAACACTGACATTCGATGCATATAATCTATTTTATTTCTGGATAATCAATTCGGATTGGTAGATTGCAATTGTAACAGCATAGTGTTTGCAAATTCAGATAAACATCCTTAATGAATGTTTTTGGGGAAAAATCCTAGTGACTCTCTCTGGTCAACTGCATAATTGACGGGAGAATGGCATAATTGACGAGACAAGTGCATAATTAATGAGAGAGTCCTGTTGAAGCTTTTGATAGTATCATTATTCTGATAATTCGTTAATCAAGACACATTTCCAGAAACCAATTAAATTTATAATGAGACAGGTCCTTTGGTATTTTCTCCTGAATCCAATAAAATGATTTGCAGACTTTGTGTTGAATGTTATGTTAATCAAGTTGTCTCGGAGGGGTTTGGGGAGAAAATGTGGAGAGAATAAAAATCTTTTAATATTTTCTTCTGAATCTAATAACTACTGAGGTAATTACTTGATTTATTTGAGATTTATTTTCGTTTCGTTTTGGCAAACAGTTTGGTTAATCACGTAATATCTCGTAAATGAGGGTTTTAGGATGAAATGTCAAAAGGCAAGTGCTATAGACATGGAGAAATCAACGGAAGAAATTGTCTTCACCTTCAAATAATTCCAAACTTCAGATATTGCAATTTACATATTGAGAGAAGTTTTACTCTTGGATTTTTTGTTTATTAAACAGTTTTATTAATGACGTAATATTTTGGAAATGAGTGATTTAAGAAAAAAATGTTGAAAATTTTTTTCTGTAACTGAGGAATTTTGCAACCAAAAAGATTTAATATTTTCTCCTGAATCCCATATAACGAGTCACAGACTTGGATTTGGTCACACTTGTGTAAATGAAGTAATGTCTCAGACGTGAGTGGTTTTGGAAGAAAATGTGAAGATACTTTTTCGATATTTTCTTTGAAATCTAATAATCACTGGCGTAACTAATTAATTAGTGATTTATTTACATTTTTTTGTTCAACAGTTGTGTTAATCACACAATATCACGAAATTAAGTGATTAATTGAAAAATCAACGAAAGAGGATCGTCTTCAATATTCAAATAATTCCCAACTTCAGATATTACAATTTTTATAATGAGCAAAGTTTTACTCTTGGACTTTGTGTTTGTCAAACAGTTTTGTTAATTACGTAAAATTTTGAAAATGTTGTTGAAGAACTTTGTGACGAAAATGATTTAATCATATTTTTTCTTGCACTCAATAGAACGATTCAGTCTTTGATTTGTTGAGTTATATAAATCAAGTAACGTCTTGGAAGTGAGTGGTTTTGGGAGTAAATGTAACGCTACTAAAACCTTTCGATATTCTCTCTTAAATTTAATAACTACTGAGAGGACTACCAAATTAGTTAGCGGTTTGTTTACGTTTTCTTTTTGTTATACCGTTCCATTAATCGTGTAATATCTCGAAAGAGTGATTCAGGAGCAAATACCAAGAGACAAGTATTATAGACATTGAAAAATCAACGAACGAGATGATCTTCAATCTCAAATAATTCCAAGCTTCAAATATTACGATTTTTATAATAAGAGTTTGACTCTTGGACTTTTTTGTCAAATAGTTTTGTTAACTACGTAATATTTTGAAAATGGGTGATTTTCGGAAAAGTGTTAGAAAATCTTTTCCGTAACTGAGGAAATCTGCGATCAAAAAAACTCATAACTCTGAAATCGACTAGTTATCGAGACAATTGAATAATAAACGAAAGAAAAAATTTTAATTAATGCTTTTTACACCTTTCCTGATGAAATAAGGAGAGAATCCAAAAAAACATAATGAAAAAACATTTTCTGCGCCATCCCGAGGGAAGATATATTTTTCTAATCAATGTCCCCCCACCAATCAGCACCCAATCACGTGTTTATGTGAAACTAGTCGATATGTAATTAAAAAAATCGCTAGAGTGTGTTGCAATGATTTTTAAACCTTCTTCGCTATGTAAAACTCAACTGTTTTCAAATGATTTAGTAAGATTGACTCAACATTCCATTTGCATTTCTTTTATCTTCACGAAGAGTAACGTGGAAGTTCGTCAGTACAGCTGCAACTTTAGGAAACAAATTTATATTAATGTTATTACGTATGTGTAGTAGGAAATGAAGTAATGGAGGGACAGATATCTGTGTGGATAGTTGAGTTATGAATTTTTGTAGGATAAAAGTGAGAACCTTGAGGGATAAGGCAGTGTGATGTTTCGTTTTTGAGATTAATACACATTTTTTTTATAGAAAAAGGATAATCATGAGATTTAATATATCAGCAGAATCCTACTAGTCCTGGGTATTCTTCCCTTTCAGAAGAAGAGAAAACATTGTATTTGAATTTTTATTAATTAAACGTAATTTTGGGAAAGGTTTTGTCATGAGAAGATGAAGGAGATGAGTTTTAAATTCATGGACAGACTATTTTGTGGGGCCTGAAATATTCTAGAAATAATCTCTAGACATTTCTTTCTGAAGCTTTTCATTCTGGAGACGAAAATATGTTTGAGAGAAAAACTCCCTGTACAAAGGGAAGAACTCAAAATGGGAATTGTAGGTCTCGAAGTTTTCAATGGAAAATATCTTGTGATGAATTTTACTAAACCTTTTTATTCTATAGACATTTAAGAAGTAATAAGTGAGGAAGTTAGAGACTCAATGAGTCCAGATTATTTTGCGAGTATTTCATAAATGCAAAAATCGACGAGAATTTATGAAAAAAAATTTCTATATTTGTCTTTCTGCCTCTTCCATTCGTAATCATTTTTGAAATTGATGCCCTCACCTCTTTTTAGCACTCGATAACGTGAATAAATATCATGTATCGAAAAAGGTAATGGTGCAAAAATTACGTATCAAGATCTTTCCAAAAGTTACGTCATCTAATTAATTAATAAAGACCAAAATATACATAATTTTTAATCTGAATTTCTCCCTTCTCTTCAGCCACTGTAAAAACAAGTAGGTTATAAAAATCTAGAAGTCCTATTTTTTGTGCGATTCTTTATTATGTTGAAAACTGTAAGTTAAATACCAATTACAAAGGCTCTTTGTACGTAACGGCCGCAAATAGTGTTTTATATTATAATATAATATTCTATCAAATAAATCGGCTATAGTTATTTCCTATTCCACTCTCCATTACACATATTTACTCTCATTCATCAATCAAAAAATAGAAAAAAAGGAATAATATAAATTTTTGTATATAATATGGCTTCTGTTATTCTCTCCAACAAATGTTCCCAAATATTGTTTTGTAGACGAGTCATTTGTTGGCTTAAAAATACTGGGTGATGCACTTACAAGCTCAGTAAAATAGAACTTTACTCTTTAGGTATGACTAACAAAATAAACTTTTTTTTCGAATTTGTTTCTTTTTCGTCAAACACTTTTTCAGTATTTCAATAATTTCGTACATTTGTTTTGATGACGATTTAATGCGGTAATTTAAACACGTGAACGTGCTACGACTAGTTCCAATTATCGCGCGGCAGGACCGTCAGCCATGCACTTGAAGTCTTTTCTCTGTGAACTTTCTTTTTTTTTATTAAAAGTTCAGAGAACGCGGACGCAGAGCTGGAAACCCGTGCATATTCAGGAAATTGCGAGCGGCACGAGTCATGTCCAGTTGGTCCTGGGTACGACCACATGCTACCATAGTCCATTGAGCTTCAAGATGCAACTGGAAAGAAAAACGGCAACAAGCCGCCATTTGTCACCGTAAATCAGATACATTTTTCAATTTCTTGTTATTCAACTTATTCTGAATATAAATTAAAAATGCTCTTTGAAAAAATTGAGAATTTTTTCTACTTTTTTTTTATTGTTCATTCATAATTTTTCCAAACTTCTGCATGATGCAGGACTTAATTGACAATTTCAGATGACGAAAGATAAAAAAAACATCGAGATAACGCTCGAAAGATAGTACACCCGGGCCTTAATGTTGGAAATCGCTTGCATTGTGCACCTGTATGTGCAACAATAGTAATCAGCACTGTGAAAATTCAACCCGCCAAAACACTCGTATGCGTCACGAGCCTGAAGAAGCCACAATTAAATTGGCGAAACGTCGCTTCTTTTGACAATTTAATCAACGTTGTTATTATTTCTCCAAAATCCCCTGACTCCTTTACTGAATTCATTAATACGGAGATGAGCGTGAACATCAATTCTAATATTAACGATTTTTTTAAGGATTAGAACAGA